GGGAAGGGCGAGTTAAATGGGTGGAGCATAGGCTTTGGAGCTAGCAGCTTAGTTAACGAACGGGCAGGCGAAACAAAGTTCGTGCTGCTTCGATGACGGATTACTGAGAAGTGGGGACCGTGATGCGGCAATCGAGGTCTGTTCCTACGGCCTAAGCGGGTTTCTATGACAGTAAATGACAGTAAATGCCATCAGAGCATGAATGTACGTGTCTAATCCATACATGTACCTAAGGTGTATACGTACCTAGGTACCTTCTGGTATCCACCTCCTGGGCACCGGACCTAAGGTACCGACCTAGGTACGCATAGGTACTTATCTGCAGGCTGCCTGTCTACCGTAATGCGCAATTCATTCAATCTTAGTAAATATTAAATATTTTATGTGTACAATCTCTGACCACGCGTGATGTTGATGTTTGATCAGCTATAACGTATCATTTATTACCATGGTCTCGGAAACAAAGCACTCTACTCCATTAGTACCTAGGTATTTTGCTAAGATATTTATAAGCACTTTATTTGTCACACACAGTACCTATGGATGTAGATATCGCAGGCAAGAAGCTAATATCATTTCGATAGTTGCTAATACCTACCTCTTGTCATACCGCGCATTATACCTGGTTCCTTACGAGTAGCCTCATTTATGACTACTCAACGTGTACCGAGATAAAGGGGGTGCAGGTTAGCGGCGCCATCGGCCAGGGTTATACTACAAATGACGTAACGAAGGCGTCGGTCGATTCCTTCATAATACCCGAGTTTTCTTCCGATACAGAGAGCCAGATAGCTTCACCAGACCTCATCTGATTCACATCTTCAGTATTGAATCAAGGAAATCTTACCGCGGAGTTAAGAGGAGAGAAAAAGCGAGAACCTACGTCCTTGCGACCTCCATCGTGCACTATACCCACCTTCGTAATTAGCATGACTAGATATCCCTCAACCAAGATATATATATAAGTAGGTCACAGCTTTATAATTTATAGGTTAGCTATTCGTTGTTAGACCCGAGTCTATTGTAAAAGGCAATTGGTCGCCCTACCATCTACTATATCTTTTAATGGAACTACGCCGTCTACCTAGAGATCAAAGAAGCCGAAAGTACCGGATATATCAGCATCGGATAATATAACCGAGCATTACATACACTGCTATGTTTCAACCAAGGGGATGTGTGCGTTAAGTCCTAAAGTCATGATAAAGTCGCAAGTTATAACCGAACTGCTACATAGTTCCAAAGTTGCATTCACGTTCGAATGCAGTAGAAGTTGCGGGTTGCTCCTTTTGACACGAAAGTACTCTTGGCCGTCATCTGATCTGCTTCTAGTGATAGCAAGGCTATTCTCGAATATACGAACTAACTCTTCGGCCTTTGGCTTGTTCATGTCCGAGGCCTTCGTACCTTGGGCAGGCTCCGATCCGATTTACTTACCAAATTTGTGAGACCTCACTGTTGTGTTACGGGCCTGATCTTTAGGATGATTACCCCATCCGTGCATTGTCGTTATGTCCATGTGGCGTCTGGAGAGGCGAGGGGCCGTCCACACCAAACCGATCTTAAAAGCAAATCACCTCAACGAGTCTTAGAGCCGATAGGATGCAAGCTCCCAAGGAGAGAAGTATGACTTCGAATAACGAAGTTATCCTTAGAGCACAGACTCGCTATAGTTCACTATAAGTTAATCACTTCAGTAGTGCCTTGCGTACTATCAGTTCCATTTTCCTATTTCCTAGAGTGCCAATGCTAGATGGATGTTTTTTGCACTACGAGGCTTCTTTCGTTTCCCAATAGTCGTTCTCTTCTCATTACGGGTGGATATTAGCTGGTCACAAATTAAGAATATGTTTCCAACCATCACCACATTGCCTCAATGCAATGATCTCAAGGTATTGAAGCTAAGCTCAGATGGTGCACGTAATTTTGCCAAGCATATACCAGTGCTTCCCGACAAGGCATCAGATGGCGGGGAATAGCGTTTGGCCTCATAGACATGCCTAACGCTTACCCATTATTAGACGCAGAGCGATCGAAGATATCAAACGATGTTATCTGAGGCCCAAAGCAAAACGCCTACGCTATAATAAGGCTTGCTATTTTGTAGGGGACCATAGCACAGTATCTTCTTTACAACACTGGTACGAGTGATTAGAAAAAGTTGGCCAATAGAATTACTAACCGCGATATCCACCGCGATGCCATAGCTCTAGCTCTGTTAAATATCATCCCGTTGCTACGGTTGTCACCTCCAACCAAGCTAGGTCCAACCAGCAGTAACCACAACTGAAGCCCATATGTTCTGCATATGTACGACAGCTATAATTTGGGAACTATTACGATATTGGTGCTATACTTTATCATTAGCTGTGTTTTCCGCAGGGTCGTCGGTGTGTGTTGCAAAAAGGGATTACAACTTATGTTGCTCATCGCTTGACATGTATCAAAATATACTCGGGATCCAAGTTTAGAATCGACAATATATAATGCGATATGACCCAGAAGGAAATATAGAAGAACGATTGAGCATCGGCAATGTGATACCGATAAGACAGAGTCCGTAGTCTCGTCTATAGGGTAAGACGAGTTCTCAGTTACCTATCGGCTATCTCTGCCCACCTATATGTACCGACTAAAGATGTAGCTTTAGGGCCGCGGTTGCGATGCGCTTGAATGAGTACTGTTACAGGTTATAGTCTGCATACTCCCAAGGCCGGCATTGGATCGGCAGTAAGAGCAAGATCGGCAAAGGCGAATTGTAGATTCGCCCAACGGTTTCATAACACTTGATGTGCGTTGCAAGGCTGCTCATTGGCTGTAGTTGCAATAACGAAAACTTGACGAATGTAGAAGTTAAACAAACGTCCTAAACCAGCTCACTTGCACCCGGGAGGTATGTATGTTAGAGAAACTGCCTTAGAAAATCGTACGTAAAGATGGACGCCCTGCACCACAAAAGCCGGCTCGTAAAAGCCGGGGTTTAATAGTCCTTCGCACGAGAATCGTCTAGCGAAGTATGACGGCAGGTTGGCGATACCGGAGGCCGTAAGGGGGAACAGTAGATAGGAGTCTGGACATGCTATACCCAGCTTACTAATAAGGATTCCCTCTACTGGGGCAAGCGGATAAGGGATAACATCGTGACATATTTTGAGATGGTACTCTCGCGTGTAAAATCTCGAGGGACTTCATACGAGCTAGACAAGACCAAGTGACTTGCGAGGCCAGTTGCGAGGCCATAGCGGAGTTTTGAAGAACCCATCGTCAAAAACGGACAAGGATCGTACAGGCGATGATTCATGCCGTCGATACGTGTAAAGACTGGTTGGTAAAAGTGGTGGGAGGAGCCTGGACTGTGCTGTACATTACAGTTGTACTCGGATGATTTGGACGTGATTCTGCATGCGGAGGCGCCCCGGCCATGGACTGCGTATGAGTGGATGATATACTCAAGGCAAGTACCGCTTTATGTTGGGCGAGATGTTTTGTTTACGGAATAGGGCCTCGAAGACCAATTCTCGGCCAGCGTGCGAGGGGAACACGCAGTACTGTATGTACATACGTAAGTGCTCCTCTAGTACATACGACGAATGTACGAATGTACGTATGTAATGGAAAATACGCAGCTAGAGGCATTCCCTAAGGTACGGTACATTGGACGAATTGGTGATGGGATGCAAATGGATAAAGATGAATATGAATATGTATACATACCTAGGTATGTTATAGCTAACTGGCATGTCCGTATAGTTATTGTTTACCTATATGTATGTAGTTGCAACAAATAAATAAGACGAATTAGCTGGAAGTAATCATAGAGAACTAGCAAACAAGAGAAGAAGAAAAAGGACTGAGGAACTATTTGCTTACCTAAGTAACAATCTTCTTTTATTATTCTTATTATTTGACGAGTGGACATTGGCTCCGTAAACTAAAAAAAAAAAAAAAAAGATCGACAAGAGTTTTCGAGAAACAACCCTCATTGATAAGGTACTCGGGTTGTTTGTACCGACGCCTTTTACCAAGCATGCTAAGACCCAAATGCACCTCAGCCCATTGGCCCCAATTGGAAGAATAACAGGGGGGCAGGTGCAGTGAGTGTCCAGGGCTACCAGGTGCCCGTGGAGGATGAATACTTAGGTACCTCTAATGCTAGAAGGCACCTTTCAGACTCTGATCTGGACTTGGTTCGACTGGGTTCGTCTCCGCTCTGCACTTTCTGACTGCTACGCTACCTCGTCCCCACTGTACCGACTGTATGTAGTGTATTAGTGATGTATTTCGGTATTTTCAGTTATTCTAGGCGTTGTATCGTCGTTGTATTGTACCTGTCTCTCCACTACAACTCCACTACACTACCCTCAACCTTACACCAAGGCAAAGCAGGCCTACCTGAACCTGAATCCTGACCTGACCTCAGAACTTCCAAATATTAAACCCTTTTGGCTTGGCTTCTATCCCATCCAACAAAAAAGCCCTCCTTGATACTACATCACCTAGAAAAAAAAAGATAAACACGATAAAACCCCCTCCGTAGTGCTTGTGAACACCTCTCACAAGCCTCGAGGCTTTTCTATAAAAAGTTGTTCTTGTTTTTTTAATTTTCTTCCTTACCGTCTTCTTTTTTTCTGGCCTGCTGTCTTCGAACCTGGCTCGACAAGAGACACTTTCCATCGTTTTTAGGGGGAAAAAAAGGATCCTGGGAAAATAGGCATACTGGCTTCTTAATTGATTTTCTTCACTAACTTTCCTTTCTTTTCTGCACCGCAGGCGGTTATTTCGCCTTTAGGTTTTTATTTATCGAGGAAGCCCGTCGTCCGATATTCCATCCGCCAATCCGAACATCGCATGAGATCCATAACCATCACGACGCCTACGTCGTGCCCAAGCACCGTTTTTAGCTCTACCAGGACGCTCCCCGCCATCCTTCCCCAGCTCTGAGGTCTATCACCCACTCTTTATCGACGCTAGCGCAGCTCAAGCAATATATTATTTTCACCATGGTAGCTGCTATCCGCCGAAGAAAGATGATCGGCCATCGCCGACGGGTTGAAGACGAAGGCGAGGATGATGGTGGTCTCGAACAGCTCGACATTGACGATGACTCCTTGACAGATGGGTCCATGGCTTCGGAGGATCCCGATCCGGCCGACGATAGTGATACTAGTAATGTCGATGAGGCTTCACCGACGACGCCTGCTGCTCCGAAGTTGACCAGTCAAGCAGCCAATGGCAATGGTAATGTGAAGAGGACGCACACCAAGTCTTCCGGTGGCCACCTAACGAAGGGCTCCAGAAAGACCGGTCTAAACGCTGTATCGGACACCGAATTCATGATGAGCAACCTAAACATTTCGGACGAAGCTGCTCCGGTGCAGGTACTGAATTTTGAAGAATCTATGGAACCTCAATCCAAGTCCTCGGCCCCTATAGTGGTTAGCTCGAATTCTGCTGTTGCGAATCCGGATTCCTCCCAAGACCCAACTACTGATAAGCGACGAAAGGAGCATGATGAATATAGGCGCAAACGAGACGAGGATCCGTGGTTCGTTCCCAACAGAGGCGCCTTCTTTATGCATGACCACAGACATGCCGGCCCTTCTGCCAACGGATTTCGCCCTTTCGGTAGGGGTCCTCGGGGGAGAGGTCGTGGTGGTATGGGCGGTCCTTTTGCGCCAATAAAGTATGTTACTGCCAACCAGCACCTTTATATTGTCTCGTTAGCTAACACGTATAGTCATCAAATCCATGGTCCGGCCGATCCAACGACAAATGGTCCTTGGGCACACGATATGCACGAGGCAGTCGCACAGCCTATACACGCCCGACAACCGCGGCCCTCGTTTACTGACGATGGCCCACCGAACGGCGATGGTTATATTCCCACTTGCCCTGCCAGCACTACACCAATCAACCGGACCATGGCTACAGATAAGCATGTTGGCAATGTACAGATCAGGGTCTACTTCCCAGGAATAAAGGAGCCCGTCATCTTCCCCGGTATACAAGTACGACAGTATACGAAATTACCAGACCACCGACCACCGTTGAGACGCGACAAGCCTGTCCGTATCTCCCTACCTGACTTCCCTCCCCGATATATCTTTCCAGCCACCGACAGGTCTTTCATCTTTATACCCCGAGCGATGCGTCCGAACCAACGATTGCGGGGCAAGCCAAGGTCTGGTCTTGGATCTATTGGCGGGTTTTCTAGGAGGACGAGCGTATTTGGGGGGAGTGTGTACGCTGGTAGTGCGTATACCCCGAGCATCGCTCTTAGCCGACGGTCTTCGATTGCCCCTGATTTGGGGAGAGACTATCTGGTATCTCCGACCGGTTCTACTATGTCGCGGCCGCCATTACCCTATGACGCTGCTCGACCTGTTGTCAGGCTTCCTCCACAAGGTCGACCTGAACAACAGCTTCCCGCTATTGATGGTGCACCAGCAGAAGGGTTCGCTGGAGTTGGTCAGCCCGCTATGAGCGACGTTTCAATGCAACAAACGCAACCACAAAGGCCGGTGTTCCAGGAGAACCGACCTGTACCTATCCCTATGCACCAGCCTCGGCCGCAGAAGACTGTCTCGGTAGCCGGCATCGAGTCGCCAGAAATGCAGCATAATCCGTCTCAACCATATCAACAGGCCTTCCACCAACAAGTTCCTGTTCAGGTGTCGACTAGCCTAGGTCAAGAATCTCACGCCCGACATCCCTCGTACCAGTCTCAACATTCGACCGGCACACCGCTCTCCCAAATTCCTGAACGCGCCATCCATGCTGCCCCTTTCCAGCCAAACCAGTTCGCCCAGCAGAACTACTACCAGCCATACCAGATGATGCAGCCTCAACAAGGCTATTACTACCCCCCAGCTACTTATCCAGGTGCACTAGCTCCATCCGCCACCGCACCTACATTCGTCCCGGGAGCGCAACAACCTCAACCCCAGGGTGAACCCGCTACCAATCAGCCAACTGGACAGAGTACACCAAACTCCAATTTGGTTGCTCAAGAAGTCAATGGTATGGTCTACTACTATGATGCATCTCAGTTACCCCCTATGCCTACATACAACCCCTACCCAACGCCCCAGGGCTATCCGATGCCCAGTGGAGTTGTAGGCATGAACGGTATGGTTACCCCGAGCCCGGATGGCTACTACTACCCTCCGTCGGGACCTGGTGTTGTCTACTACCAGCAGTAAGCTGCTTCCACGTGATCTCGACAACATCGCTTCAATCATCTAGCTGTGGAATGCGGGATACTTGGTCGTGCGGATTTGCACGTCAACGGCATTGGTTAGCTTCGGCGTAGGTCGCTTAGGGGGGCCTTGGTCTGGCTAATACGTATTATGGCTGTTCCTACTTCACATCCCCTTTGGATTACCACGGCAATATACAAGACTCCATCAATCACCCTTCTATCTCAGCGGTACTATAGTGATTTCACAAGAGCTTAGTCTTCTTAAACCTACCCTAGAATTGGTTTTGTGAGCCGATGGTCGCATTTCTCTCCTCGCCCGTCCTAACCTAACTACCTATCCAACCGCCCCCCTTTTTTCTTCTTCTGGCTCTTATTGTGTTTTCCGACAAACTTCTGGGAAAGGGGCCCCATACCGCATAGGCGTTCGGTGGAGTTTTCGTGCTTTGCTTGCGTTTGCCGTTTGAACATTTGCTCTTTTGCTACTGCTGTGCTTTTTTTTGGTTTTGGCTACTCCTTTTTTCTATCGCATGAACGAAAGCGAGTTAAGCTGAGCTGAGCTGTTGTTGATGGGCCTTGGGAAGATCAATCATGTGTTCGTTCGTCGCTGTGTGGGAAATTATTTCTCCATAGGTACGGGGGGAGCAGAAGGAGGGGAGAGAGGAGAGGGACGACTAGCGGTAGTAGTTAGGGGGAGCCAAGGCGGATCACGAACGCGTTGTCGATGCTTAGTTCACTACGATACGATTACGGGGAGGGAAGCAAAAGACGTGACTAGGTAGCGCAATCGGTTGCGGACGTAGGAAACCTAAATTATTCAACCCCTTCTGCTGCTTGAGTTGTCCCTTGGATGTAATGTGATCGCTTGAATCGTTGATTTCTATAGTGTGATGGATGGAAATGGCTGTCTGCTCTGGGGGATAGGGTGGTGGTGTTGAGCTGGAACTATAATAACTACCTAGGTACCAAGGTTATGTATCTACTTAATCCGTCCCAGCTATGATTATGGCAGATAGCCGTATAATAATTGGTCCAGCGGTCTTGGAGAATCAATGTCAAGTTTACTAAAAACTAGTAGTATATTAATAATAGGGGTAAGAGTGCTACAATTCCATTCTCTCTAAGTGTGAATTATCTGCAGTCTACCAGCATTGGACTCGTAAGCCACCGTCAACAACGAGCTACAACAAAGTAAGTTAAAGGGAGGAAAGAGATTAGTACAAATTTGGCCTCTATTCTGCACCTTAATCACCCTGCAATCCATCTAGCCCGAGACCTAACCCCTTTTCAGTATACCCCGTATTCTTATCCTCGACGGTAGAAATGCTGATGTCTACTGGGGCTCACTTTCTGGCTGGACTTCATCCTTTGAGACGAGATCGATGCTGGTGACCCATTTCTTCTCACCGCCATCGTTGTCATCGCTATCAGGCGGCGGCTCGAGGTTCTGCTCCTCTTCGATCTTGGGAACTAGACCAAGACGCTGATTTCCTTGGTCCCAGACCTATTGGTAATAAATTAATATTTTTGGACCAGCGACCATAGAAGTAGAAGTGGAAGAGAAGGGACAGGGTTAAAATAGGTGAGGGAGAGAAGGAATATACTTACAGCGTAGACACTCTTCAAGAATGTATCGCCGAGGATATCAAAGGGCATCATGCCACGGCTTTGAATACCCCCGTACCAGTACTTCTTGTCGTCAGTCAGAGCGAAGGCCAAGTCCTCCTTCTGGATTAAATATTCCTTATCGCCAATTGCCACCTTGACCTCGGGTATGTCGTCCGTCTTCACGTCGACCGGGAATATGTAGCCTTGGTTGAGCCAGTCGTAGGTCGCACCGGGGATCTGGTCATAGATCTTCTTGGCGACTTCGTCTGATACTAGTGCCAGCGTGGTGCCGGTATCAGCGATGGCAGTGTTGCCGCTGAGGTCAACGCTCTCGCCGTTGATAGTATAGGACTCGGATGAGACGGACCAGAACCCTTCGGAGTTGTCGACTTCCGTCCAGTGGATGTCGTAGCCGGTCTTTTTGACGAGATCTTCGTCGATAAACCCAAACGTGTAGAATGAGTCGGGATCTTTATCACGTGAACTATAGAAGGCGGTCGTGAAGAGCTTGGACTCCTTGGGGATATCGTCCTGCTTGATCATGTTCTCGACGGGAGTGGCTTGAGGGTCAGCCTCACCGGAATCTGTAACCGTGTTGATCTTGCCCCAGGCGAGACCAAGGAGACCGTCGCTGGTGCCCTGGGAGAACTGTTTGGATAGCTTGGTGGCACACTCGATCGTCTGATTCTTGATGGCTAGGCCACCAATGACGAGTGTGTCGCTGCCGCAGTCACCGGAAGCTGTTGAGCCATCTCCGTACTGGATCTTCCAACTCTTTCCAGGGAGTTTCTTGAAGGACTCGGACTTCTTGGGGTCGAAGGCATTGTGTTGAGACAGGTCAGACTTGTGCTGAAGAGTCGAACGAACCTAATGCAAGTATTAGACTTAAATATACATGAAGTAAGAATGGTTTCAACGAACCCAAGTATCAGCAGAGCCGGTGTCGAAGTCAAGTAGCAGTTTTTGGGGCGGAGTGCCGATTTTAACCTCGCATATATACATAGAATCGTTCTGTTGATCTTCTGCAGTGACCTCTGTAGTCTGATCCCCGTCTTCAGGCTTGCCTTTCTTGACTAGGGTTCTCTTTGTATGTACAGTGCCACCAAGGGCTCCCTTGAGTTCTTCAGGGAGGAGGCCATGCTGTCTGACTTTGTCGATATGTAAATAGGGGCCTGGTAAAGTTGGTTGAAAACCAAAACGGTTCAATGCGTGGACGTAGGACTTGGTGCCATGACGCTTGTAATTCTGGTTGTGGACAATTTTGACTTTAGAGAGGCCAAGATCCTGCTTGATCTTGTTCTGAGCAGCGTAAAGGGCATTCATCGTGGCTTTCAGTCGATTTGCTCAAGTGTTGTTGAATACTGCTGACACCAGATCGTCTTCTACACGGAATGGAATTGCTAGGTATATGCTGATTGGAATATAGGTGATGGTTAGGTAGGTATTCTGCGATATATATATTTTAAATGAGGAAAATGAAAGATGATAGAGAAAACAATGAGGTTAGTTGATGAGGTCGTATGTCCATCTTAAATGATCGGCGGCTGTGAACTTCGCTCTTGCATACTATATCAAGAGGAAGCGACGGTGAAACATGGAATTGAGACTACGTGATACACTTTGTTTCGGTCTTATAATGTCTAGAGCACCTGCTCGATGATATATAACGTGGTAAAGAGTATTGATTGGAGTAATTCCTAAGGGGAACTCCTTCCATGAGAACTACCTTGCTATAGCTTCAGCCTTCTAAATAGGAGTATACATTTCAATAAGCCATTCCGATAAGAAGACTACCACCGGTGTTCTATTACCTCTATAAATATCTCCTTCCTTATTTCATGATGTACAAGTTAAAACTCGACTACCTATTTGCCGGAGGTATGAAACTTTGTACCAGGTGGTAAGTGTCAAAGTTATATTAAACAAGATTGAGGCTCAGCTGCACAGGACCAAACTTTTAACAGATAACATGTGAAGTATGTCACTGCGGAAATTAAATTATAAGCAACTACTACTCGAGAATCTTGCAGTAATACGTCAACTGCGAGGGTGCTAGGTATCTATAGTACCATCTTTCGTATGCCACCTGCGCATTTATTTTGATGTCTGCGTATATGTTAGTACTTATTCTTATTAATAAACAAAAGCTATAAAGTGAGACATACATCCTCAAACACCATGTCCTCAAGAACTTCGTTCAGCGGATCGTTAGAGCGTCTTAAGAAGGCAGAGACAAACCTTCAAGTATGTTGCTATATCTATATCGAATAGATCACCCAGATGGCCTACAACAAGAATTGTGATTTATTGTAGTTTCACTGTTCCAAAGATGAACCCTCGAAGACCGTTACTTATCCAGCATTCTTCGCCGTCGACCAGCGAATCTGCAGGAACGACTTGTTCCACAACAAGATTCCTGTTCCAATTAGCATCAGCTGCTTAAAATTTAGACTAATGCCAAGGGTAGGTGAATTCGGATTTACCTCTCTAAAGCCCATCTTCTTGTTGTGCCGTTATTTCCACCACTCCCTTCAGAAGCGCGATATTGCGTGGGAATAGGGGGAGTGACCCATTTCCCGTCTCTCCAGAAATAGGGGGTACTAATACTACCCTCCATAATATGCCTATCATCATTGACGAGGAGCACTTCTTTCCTATCGCCTAGATTTATTTGAGCCCGTCTCCTTGCATCATTATACATGTCTCTAAAAGTAGTTTTGTAATGGGTGAACTCGGATTTTGAAGTCTTCTGACTATCAAGGAAGATGTCGTATACAGGATCCTTGATTGGAACCTTGCCGTCTCCTCCTTCGGGTAAGTCCTCGCGATCTAGTCTCGGTAGATATTCTGGATATAGATTATTCAGATGTGTCTCTGGAAGAGGAGAGATTTGATAATCTAGAGTTCCGTTCTGAGCTAGGCTAAGCATTATTCGATGCGGGCCGTTGCCAACTCCGCTAGTAATGTTCTGAAGGAACCTCTGCAGGTTTCTCAAGCCTTCCTCACCAGAAACGACGGCGACTGCGGCTGACCATTGCCAGTAGACGGCAGCTCTTAGCATGCGGTCTCGGTGTAAGTCAAGCATATAGAAGGGGGAAGAATTCTGATTCCATCCGGTATTGACATATCCTAATTCTGGTACTTTTAAGAGGGCAGGATCATATCGTATAGATGTGAAGATCCGAAAATCGTCCATTGTATATGTCTCATTCGCGATCTTTAGGCATGAGTGAAGCTATCAAATACTTACATATGTACATGTAAGTGCTAAATATTAAATACATAGATGTACTACATACATGTAGGTCCGCGTTAGCTTATGCAAGAAACTTAGTGGATGTTAATACCGTATATACTTACCGAGTACATGGCACTAATAAGATATATCTCCCGGGATAACGAATGCGGTGGGTACACGTATGTACATACATAGGTACCTACATAGTGGGCGTTTTAGACACGAGGCTGCTAGGTTGAGCATGTAGCGTGTACGTCAGGTACTCCGCAGTACCTAACATACCTAGGTAAGACATTGAAGTGCGTGCCTTGGGATAAGTACTTTGTATTTGTACCTAGGCAGGAAGGGTGGAAGGGTGGAAGGGTGGGCTGTCGCTGTCGCTGTCTATGGAGCTTTCCGATTGATGACATTGATGACGAAGTGATTGTGGGCCAACCAGGGTCGAAGCTTTCAGAGCACAGCGCATGTTAAAATTGGGTCGCACTAAAAGATACTATGTACTTGTTGTAAAGTAAACTTTTTTTTTGCGCTTGCAAAGTTGTTTTTGATCGGTAATAATACCTAATAACAACTTGCTGAATTTTGATATCCGCAACCGAAATACAATAACAAATCGTCATCTCTATATAATACTTCTCAACCCTGTGTTTGCTGTATCCTGTGACTCGACCGACCTCGCAATCTCGACTTACCAAGTCACCTTTTTCTTGTCACCCTGGTTGCCGCACTTTGTTCCCCACCTCGAAATCAAAATCGACAACATCCGTCCGATTCCACCGTAATGTCTCGTGCTTCCGCAGCTCCGCCGCCAATGCCTCCCATAGCCCAACCCATCGCTATCCCCGTAGAGCCCTCCCTTTGGGACCGCTTTACCAATTGGGCATCCGAGAACAAAGCGCTTGTCTATACCATTGCTGGTGTAGCTGTTGTCGTCACTAGCGCTGGTGTGGTCTACTATCTTAATGGCGATGCCGTAAGTTGTTATTTTCTTTAACATCTTTTTTTCCCTTCGCTATAATAGCCAGCTCACATTCGTACCAAGCAAAAGTCGAGGCCTGCTTCGCAAAGTAAACCCAGCAAGAAGGAGAGGCGGAAACGAAAGGAGGCAGAGCGCCAGGCCGAAACATCTAAAACTGTCCCAGCAGGTGAACAAGCGAAGACCCCAACAGTAGAAGTGGCCGATGAATTACCCGAGATTAACGAGACCACTGTCGCTACCTTCACCGATGAGCAGCGCCGCGACTACGCTCTGCAGTTAAAGAACGCTGGAAATAAAGCTTATGGCAGTAAAGACTATGACAGAGCTATTGATCTCTACTCCAAGGCTATCCTCTGCAAACCAGACTCTATCTTTTATTCCAACAGGGCTGCCTGCTACAACGCTCAATCTGTCTGGGATAAGGTCGTCGAAGACACGACCGCCGCTATCAGCCTCGACCCTACATATGTAAAAGCTCTGAACCGAAGAGCCAATGCTTATGAGCACCTATCTCAGTTCAGCGAATCGCTCCTCGATTACACCGCCAGCTGCATTATCGACGAGTTCAAGACCGAATCCAGTACCAATGCAGTCGAACGATTGCTGAAGAAAGTTGCTGAGCAGAAGGCTGAGGAAATCATGAAGTCCAAGGATCCCAACAAGCTACCCAGTCCCACTTTCGTCTCCAACTATATTCAGAGCTTCCGAGCGAAGCCGCGCCCTGAGGGTTTGGAGGACGACGTGGAGGTGCTGGAATCAACTGGAAAGGGGCAGCTACAAATCGGTTTGAAAGCTATGGAGAAGAAAACTCACGAAGGTTATGAAGAAGCCGCAAATGCGTTCGAAAAGGCTCTGGAACTTGGCGATCTAGACAAGCACGAGGCACTTGCTTACAACCTGCGGGGTACATTTAGAAATCTCCGTGGGGCGCAAGAGGAAGCTTTGCAGGATATGGACAAGAGTATTGAGCTCGATCCATCGTACACTCAAAGCTATGTCAAGCGTGCAAGCATGCACCTGGAAATGGGTAAGTGATCGGTGTTACGTACCACGGAAAGCGACTCAAAACTGATCTGGTTGCAGGTGACCGAGCTAGTGCTGCTGCGGACTTAGAGCAGGCTTTGAGCCAAAACGATAGCGATCCGGACATCTATTATCATCGTGCGCAGTTGCACTTTATCCATGGCGAATTTCAAGATGCTGCTAAGGATTACCAAAAGTCGATCGATCTTGACTCTTCCTTCATATTCTCACATATTCAGCTTGGTGTAACGCAATACAAGATGGGCTCCGTGGCATCCTCTATGGCGACGTTCCGTCGGTGTGTTAAGAACTTCGACAAGGTGCCCGACGTGTACAACTACTACGGAGAGCTTCTTCTCGACCAGAGCAAGTATGACGAAGCTATCCAGAAATTCGACACCGCCATGGAGATGGAAAAGCAGACGAAGCCTTTGGCGATGAACGTATTGCCCCTTATTAACAAGGCCCTGGCTCTCTTCCAACAGAAGGCCGAATTTACGGAAGCAGAAAAGTTATGCGAGAAGGCGCTAATCAGTAAGGGCACTTTAAAAGATCAGATGAAAATCATATGCTAATTGGCTATAGTTGATCCTGAATGCGATATTGCCGTTGCTACAATGGCGCAACTCCTCCTTCAGCAGGGCAAGATCACGGAGGCACTTAGGTACTTTGAACGTGCGGCTGAGCTTGCTAGAACACCTGGGGAGATCGTCAATGCGCTTTCATACGCCGAAGCTACGCGGACACAGATTCAAGTCCAAGAAAATTATCCTCAATTAGCAGCTAAGCTCCAAGGAATGGGCACGGGCGCTGCCAGTATGGGGGCCGGCGCATTCGCGGGCGCCCGCTAGATCATAGCATTGTGCAGTTAATATACGCATCCTTTTACACCAAAGGGTATCACGGAGCGACTCTACTCACCTCGGATTTACTAGGAAATGTTTTGGAAGTTGGGCAAATCATATTTCGGGTTCATACGGAAACCACTACTAAAAGCGCCTGGAGGTCTGCATACGTTTACTCCGAGACCTCAAGATCAAGAACCTAAAGGTCCGAACGACGAATCGTTAGTAATTTGCCGTCGTCATCCTGCTCACTGTACCCAGTATTGTACATAATTAATACCTCCCTCTCCTTGTTGTCAAAAAAAAAGCCCGGCCATGCATGTCATATGAGTTGAGGCGGCCGGGCTTTGTCGCCACACCCGCACGCACGCACGCACGGTATTGGTCAGTTGTTCTATAAAAAAGGGGACTAGCGATTGTAGGTCGTTGCCCCCTATAGGGGAGAAGAGACCTGCGACTACTAGGGGAAACGGAATCAGGTTTCAGTGACGGTTTAATGAGAGTTCATGGGTGCTACGACTTTCTGGGATGATAAGTATATCAGGCGAACCAAAATATATAACCCATTCACTACAATATCTTTTCACGTAACTACCCGTTGCTAGAATCGTGTGTGCTGTAATGCGTAACAACTAAACAAACCCCCGATTAGGGAAATAGGGGTAATCTTGAATCTAACAAATTTCTAAAATACGAGGCTGTATACTAAATTACAAAGACCGCGAAATAGTCAGAACCCGTCTAGTTGCTTCCCATGTGTATTTCCTAAGCAAGCCTCCTTAAACCTGAGCAATCCCCCCTCAGGCCTGAGGCCCAACGTTATTACTAGAGCGCGAATCTAGATCCGACGACTCGTCACCAGACGTGGCAGACGAGGGGCCAGTAGCGGAGGACTCGTCGTTGTACTCGTCAACAGAGGGCTCCGTGTCAGACGCAGACACAGACTCGGCGGCAACCTTATCCTTCTCGCTCGCCTTGTTGATCCGAGTGATGACGTCGGAAAGCACGTCGCCCAGCTGCTCGACGTTGTCGGCGTCGCGCGGCACGAGGTGGCCCAGCCCGTGGTCGTACAGCTGCGCCGTGTCCTGGTCGCACGTGTTGTACAGCGCGACGGACGAGTATACCAGCGGGTCGTTGGACCCGAACACGTGGAACGTCGGGATCGAGATGGACGTCCCGTGCTCGTCTGCTAGGCGGGCTACGAAGTCGTCGCCTTGGGCGACTAGGGGGGGCGTGCCGGCGAAGAATATGGCGAACTGTGAGGGGGGATTTTGTTAGAGAAGAGAAGAGAAGAGAGGGAGCAAAGTAAAGTAAAGGAAAGGAAAAGAAAGGAAATAAACCCACCTTAATACGCCTAGGCACTCCCATCTCCTCCCACCGCCTATTCTCCTCGGCACAAATCGACGCCGCCATCATCGCGCCCTCCGAGTACCCAAGCAGCCCATCGATCTCCCCATCCGCCTCGATAGCCTCGAACAGCCTATCCAGGGCTTCGCGAAAGGCCCGCCAGTCGTACGCAATAGGGCGTGGCGGCTTGAACAACCGAAGCGTAGCTTCGGGGCTCAGGCCGCGCGGGATATGGCGGACGCGGCGCACGACTTCGAAGGCGTCGCCCGCGCCGGCCTCCGCCTCGACGAACCGGTATAGCGGGCGCGACCCGAAGTAGTTCTCCCAGCCTAGCGGCGGCTCTACCTCGTGCGCGCCCTGCGTGAAGGCGAAGGTCGCTAGGCCTCGGTCCTCCATGTGCTTGGAGAAGGGCCCGAGCTGGACGCCGAAGTTCTGCGCGTTGTTATAGTTAGTAAGTAAGTACGCTGGTGAGAGACGACGGCTGCTTAGATAGGTACCTAAGCATAGGTAGGTAGATGTTTACGCACCTTGGCGCTGCCGTATGCGCCGGGCAGGCAGAGGAATTTCATAATGACGAAGAGTGTAAAGAGAGGATTCGACTCTTTGTTTTCTCTTCACCAGAGCTTCTCTTTTCAGCCTGATTTCGTCCAGTGAAATTTACCAAAAGCACCGTGGACGACGTGTTCAGCTGGGAGAGACGCGCGTCTTAGCTGTTCTTCTACTGAGCTATTGATGGGGTTAAGCGAGCTACGCCATCCGGACCTACGAAAGGCGTACGCCTGCGATGATATATATCACAGCTTAAGCGAGCCTCGTATCCGGCAATATTTGTTGGACGGCCAACTTCCAAGACCGTCTTGCCACCCGTGGGGACCACCCGTAAACTCACATGAAGCGATGATAGCCATGTGGGTGTCTTGTTAATAGCATCTGTGGTGGCCGTCTATAATAACCTATTCTTGCACCCTTGTTGGCTTACACCCTTCGAGAGAGATTGATGCATGTCAAGGTGCAGGATGTGGTGGATATATTGCATCATTTGGAAGATAAGTTTCGCGAATGTTCTTCTCATGTGCCGGTCATGCGAAGATACCCTTATCCGTACGGCCATCAAACTTCAAGCTATTGCCGAATACGAATATTATAGTTGAGACAAGGGCCGCTAGTCTATGGTCGACGGGCTACTCCTCACGGGTTGGAGGTTGCGACGATCTGTCCACGGACTTCCGACACTCGTCCAGACTTGTCTGAAGCATGTTTTCTATTCCTGCGTAGGTGAGCTGTAAGAGACTAAGGTTTCGGCGTGCCGCATTAACAGAGCTTGAACTTTATAAAACTCTGTGATAATATATGCTGCGACGCTTGTAGTGGTGAACTATCCAAGATATTCCGTTACATAGAGTTCAGTCACATAATAGGGGCATTCCCGAGACACGACGGCTAACTTACCGTGAAAGGATCTAAGATAGCTTGAGGGAGCCATGTAATGAAGGCATCCACTACCACAAATCTTTGTAGATAGTAGGCAAAAGCTAGCTTATCATAAAATAAGTTATCCCTTAAGTCAAGTATGTAGTTGTATCAAGTCGAAGACAAAAGCGTCTCAGTTAAAGCCTCAGGGCATCGGACCTGATTCTGATATACGAGGCCGTTCGTCCCAAATGGGAAAATTGCCATCAGCTGGAGTACCGACCTCATTGTCCGTTCGACTGCTGAGTTCCTGGAGGCGTTTTGAAGAATACGCTATGTAAACTCAACCCAATTGATGGACAGGAGATTGTTTCAGAATATCCGAATTGTGCCTGGGTCGCAATCAAAATGAGATTGCTCGCTTGTTGAAATATATAACTTCTGGCGCTCTTGATTCGAGCTATTCTAAACCTCTTGGTCTTCTCTAGCCAACACTCTTTGGCACTACTCTATCTTTTTTCTCACGTACCAACATGGAGTCAGAGGAGTTAATGCCCATTGCCATAGTCGGCATGTCGTGCCGCCTACCTGGCGACGTGTCTTCGCCGGGAGACTTCTGGAAGCTGCTAACCAAGGGACGCAGCGCGTGGTCTAAGATACCTCGAGATCGATTCAACCAGGAGGCTTATAATCATCCCAATCCAGAGAAGAAGGGTACTATCAACTCGCAAGGAGGGTATTTCTTATCCCAGAACCTTGAGATGTTCGACCCTGGCTTCTTTGATATGACGCGCAAGGAAGCTGAGACAATGGGTATTCATCATCTTCCAAATTGACCGCGTTGAAAAGCTGACCCTATGTAAGATCCCACACAGCGTCTCCTCCTCGAATGTTCGTACGAGGCCCTCGAGAATGCTGGCATTCCTAAGGAGTCTATCTCGGGTCGGAAAGTTGGTGTCTTCATTGGCGGCCCCGACAATGAACATAGAATGGGAAATCTCAGGGATCTAGATGATTCGCCAATGTTCGATCCCACCGGTAGCCAAGGGGCATTCCTTGCTGGGCGAATATCATACTTCTTCAACTTATGCGGGCCTACATTTACCGTTGACACGGCTTGCTCATCCAGCATGCATGCGCTGCACATGGCTGTTCAGAGCATACGGTTGGGGGAGTCCGAACAAGCTATAGTCGGGGCTTCTCATTTGATCACACAACCCGATGTCTGGGTATCCATGGCAAAATTAAGGTGAATCAGACAGTGTTCCCGGTTGGGTTTTTTTTTGAAATTTGTTTTTTTGAATAACCAGTTAACTTAATAATGTAGATTGTTTGCGGACTCGGGGAAGACGTACGCGTTTGACCATCGCGCAAAGTCCGGATACGCAAGAGGCGAGGGAGCAGGGTGCCTTATCCTCAAGCCCTTACATAAAGCTCTAGAGGATAGAGACTACATAAGGGCCGTCATTTCCCATACGGGAATTAGCCACAACGGCCGAACCGTCGGTATGTATGCCCTCCCTAACTACCTTACTATTAGAAGACTTACATGGAATCTCTGAAGGCATTGTAGCACCCAGCTCGGAAGAGCAGGAATCGTTACTACGTAATGTTCTCTCACAAGCCAAAATTGATCCTAAGGATGTCGGATTCTTCGAGGCTCATGGGACAGGTACCAAGGTCGGGGACCCTATTGAAGCCAGAGGTATCTATAAAGCACTTGGTCAAAGCCTAGATAGCAGTGAACCGTTAACTATCGGATCGGTTAAATCCAATATTGGCCACCTCGAAAACGCTAGTGGTGTTATATCCGTCATGAAGGCCGCGCTCATGCTAGAAAAGGGGTTTATCGTACCAAACGCCGACTTTGAGAAGGAAAACCCAGCTATCCCATTATCGGAATGGAACTTGAAAGTCAGTTTTCCTCATTAAATACTCTTTGAAGCCATGTTTGAATTGGGTGAACTGGGATAGTACTGACCTCTATATTCAGCTCCCACAAAGGCAGCAGCCGTTCCCTCGAAACAAGGAGTATATCTGTGTCAACAACTTCGGTTATAGCGGGTCGAACGGACACGCAATTCTTAAAGCCTTACCAGCAGAGAATGAAATCGAATTCCTGGATCCCGAAAAGTTTGAAGGCCATATTAAGATGAAGCGTTTATTCATATTGAGCGCCAATGACGAGGCGGCCGCGAGAAAAAGTATGGAACAGCTAGGAATTTTCCTCGAACAGCATGCCGAGCTTTATCAAAGCACCATGCCTCGGAATTTGGCATGTGAGTTTTGATATTAATCCATATCCAAGAAACTACGCGCACTAACCTGCCATTAGACACGTTATGCCAGCGGCGTTCACAACTGCCATGGCGCATAGCTCTGGTGGCCGATATGTGCAGCAAATTAGCAATAGCCCTCAATAGCCCTGAAGTAATACCAAAGCGCGCGCCTACCAAGTCGCCAAAACTAGCTTTCGTATTTACGGGGCAAGGGGCGCAATGGTTTGCTATGGGTCGAGAGCTACTGGAGTCTCATTCTGTATTCGCGTCCGCTATTCAACGAGCAGATAAGCATCTTCTGTCCGTTGGTGCTGATTTCTCGCTGATGGAGGAGCTGACCCGAGATGAAGATAATTCTCGTGTAGGTATGGCTCATATCAGTCAACCGATTTGCAGTGCCATCCAGATCGGACTGGTCGACCTCCTAGCATCGTGGGGGATTAAGCCTTCTGCAGTTACGGGCCATTCAAGCGGAGAGATTGGCGCCGCATATGCAGCCGGGGCTCTAACACTTGAGGCGGCAATGTCGGCAGCGTATTATCGTGGCCAAGCTATCATTGCTTTAAAGGAGAACTTTCCAGATGTGAAAGGCTCAATGATGGCGGTGGGTATGGGAGCAAACGAGCTACAGCCCCTTTTTAAACAGCTACGGCATCCGCTTCAGGCGGTGGCAGCTTGCGAAAATTCTCCCGTCTCGACAACTGTCTCGGGCGACACCGAGGCTATCGATGAACTTTGTGATATTATGACAAGAAAGCAAATCTTCAACCGCAAGCTCTTCATTGATGTTGCTTACCATAGTCCGCATATGGAATTGATAGGCGAGATATACCACAATATGATCGCAGACGTTGAGCTGAGTAAAACGAATGAAGACGTGGAGTTCTTTTCTTCTCTTCGTTCCCGCAAGGTTAACATGGACGAGCTTGGTCCGCAGTACTGGGTAGAGAACTTGACCAACCCAGTACGCTTTACGACTGCATTGCGTGTGCTCTGCGAGGAGAGCGATCCAGATGTTCTCATCGAGATTGGTCCGCATGCAGCGCTCAAAGGTCCAATTATGCAGACTTTAAAGACAATGCAGCTGTCAGCTTCTAAGACCCCATCATATATCCCGACTCTTATACGAGGTCGTGATGCTACCGAGACGACCCTAGAGCTCGCCGGCCAGCTCTTCGTGCGCGGTTATGAAGGTATTGATTTCTTCAATATCAACCATAACCGCTCCGAGATCGAGAAGCCTGATATTATCTCCTTCCTCTATACATATCCGTGGTCACACCAGCGCTGCTGGTATGAGAGCCGAATCACGCGACAACATCGACTTAAACCGTTTGCACGGCATGATCTGATTGGGACGCTGGCTGACTGGAGCAGCGACTTAGAGCCAACATGGCGCAATTTCATACGGTTAGAGGAGCTGCCATGGCTACGTGAGTACCAAATCCAGGACCGCCCCGTATTTCCCGTCTCAGCCTTCATCTCTATGGTTGTGGAGGCGGCCGGTCAGCGAGCAGCACTCAAGGGTTTCGAGGCAGGTAGTTTCGATCTGCGTGATATATCCATCCCAGAACAACTATTTCTAGCGGATGATGAGCCGGTTGAACTCTTACTAGTATTTAGGCCACATGGAATGTCTAAACTCGACTGGGACGAATTTCGGATTTCCAGTTTTAACCCAAAACGAGGATGGCTAGAACATTGTCATGGTCTCGTTGAAGCAAAACCTCTGCAAAGCCATATTGAAGTGGCTGCTTGTTCCAATTCGTACTTCAACGTTCAACCGCAAAAGAATCAGTTGTCAATACCCGCAACGGGCTTCTATTTTAACTTGAGTTCCGGAGGTATCCGCTATCCGCATACTTTTTGGAACTTAGTGAATGTTAATATGGACAAGTCCGGGGTTAGCGCTCAAGGTACCCTCCAGGACTCAAAGCTCATCATGCCATTGGCGTACGAATCCTCGTATTTGACCCATCCCGCTACGATAGAACCCCTTTTTCAGATATCGCAAGCCGAGTTGGGATTCGATGGATTCGATGGAATGACAAGTCCACAATTGCCATCTACCATCAAACAGGTGCGTATCGATATCAGCGACGATTGGGAGAGGACCCCTGGATCCAAGTTCATCGTTCAGTCGACGAGAAACGGAGAATCCGGACCACTATTGGCCGAGCTGTTTGCGCCAGCGGATAGTGAGTTCCCTTCCGTCTCTATACTGGGATTGGAGCTCACTCCGCTCAAGACTGTAATATGCAAACCACCCAACCCTAGAGAACTATGCTACAAGATCCAATGGGAGCAGGCTGAGGAACGTCATGCTAATGGTGTGAGCCATGCACACCTTCAGTCCCACGGGGAGCGTGTGACGGTTGTGACAGAGCGTACCCAAGACGATACACTTGTGGCTTCACTATGCGATGTTATCAAGTTACACTCCGGGATTATCCCGAATATTTCAAGCCTGCTTCATGTTAGGGATTTTAGTGGCTTCTTCGTGGTTCTCTCAGAGCTTGATCGTCCCGTCCTAGCCTCAGTAAACAAGACCGAATTCGAGCAAATCCAATCCCTTTTAATACGAGCAGGTGGCATATTATGGGTGACTTGTGGCGCATCAAAAGTGCCTACGAACCCAAGCACGAATATGGCATTAGGTCTACTTCGTACAGCACGCTCCGAGCTTGGTAAAATTGCCGTCACCTTAGACCTCGACCCGGACAGCACCCTAGATATCGAGGGCCAGGCTGAACTAATTGAGGATGCTTTTAGGCGAACCGTTCTTGCAGACAGTCCCGAGGCTGAGGTTGAATTCGCGGAGCAAGGCGGAGACTTAGTCGTGCCGCGTTTTATTGTCGATGACGATATGAACTTACGAGTTCACCGCGAGCTAGGAAATTCCGAGCCGTATTTACAAGAATTCCGTCAACCTGGACGTTCGTTACGAGTGGCTACACACACTGGGGATTCCTTCGACAATCTACACTTTGAAGACGCCATAAGCAGCAAGGTTTTGGATGACGATCAAGTCGAGGTTGAGATTAAAGCCAGCGGACTTAGCCAGGATGATGTTATCGTGCACGCTGGCATAAATGGGTCTGCAAGGCCTGAAAGATCATGCAGCGGCGTCGTCGTTCGTGCTGGGCGCAATGTTATCGACATTAGTGTTGGAGATTTGGTCTGTGTCCTGAGCAATGACCGGATGGGTACGCACACCCGCGTTGCAGCAAGTAGTGTCGTTAGGATTCCTCAGGGCATAAGCTTTGAGGACGCAGCAATAATCCCATCTACATTTGGTGCGGCCTTTTACGGACTCTCTCAAGTCGCACGCGTTCGAAAATCAGACCGCGTGCTTATCCAAATAAGCAGCTCTGAGGGGCTTGCTGCAATACAAGTTGCGCATTACCTTGGTGCCGATGTGTTTGTTGCGGTCCATGGTAGTGAACGAAGAGATTTTGTTGCAAAATCTTTTGGTATCAGGCCGGAGAACATTTTCGATACAACAAGCCTCTATTTCGATCGTGAAGTACGAGATGCTTCCAGTGGGATTGGTATGGATGTCGTCTTCACTAGTTCGTCCACTTTCCCAGCTGTGACTCAGAATCTGAGCAGGGTATGGGAAAATACTGCACAGTTCGGACGTATTATCCATATGCAGGGGACACTTCATGCTCGTATTGGCAGTTGGAATACCAGAGTTGACCTCGCTGAGAACGTGAGCTTCACGTCAATCAATCTAGTGGAACTAACAGTTACACGCCCGCGTCTCATGAGAGACATCCTTAGAGACGTGCTAGATTGCTTCTCCAGAGGTATCTTCAAGCCACTAAAGAAAATGGTTACATTGCGAATCACAGAGTTGAGTCGGGGCTTGCGAATGATTCAACAAGGCACCTTACATCCTATTGTCATTTCTGCTCGGAATAGTGAGAAGGTAATGGTAAGTTACCATATCCATCACGGCTCATTACCTAGTGGACTACTAACGCTTCCGTCAGGCAATGCACTATGCTTCAAGGCGTTTCTTGAATCCCGATGGGACTCACGTCATAGTTGGCGGTACTGGTGGTTTAGGGCGAAGTACAGCTAGATGGATGGTAGAACACGGTGCTCGAAACATCGTATTGCTATCGAGAAGTGGAGGGAATGTTGGTGAACTGCGACAACTTATTGATGATACTCAAGACAAGGCCAGTATCGTCGTGAAGACATGTGACATTGCTAGCGAGGACGATGTTTACCAGATTGTAAAGGAATGCACTGAGACACTCCCGCCGATATGCGGTGTGATCCATGCTGCTATGATGCTCCACGTAAGTTTTGTCTTATTTGATGGCGAATTCCCAGTTGAGCCCACATTACGAAAAGGGTATCTAATTGTTGTATTAGGACGGGTTGATCGAAGGCATGACCCACGACTCGTACGTGTCGGCGATTCGTGCCAAAGTTAAGGGGACTTGGAATATCCACAACGCACTCGAGTCTATTAACGCACGTTTGGACTATTTTGTCCTCTTGTCAAGTGCTGCAGGCATTGTCGGTAGCCGTGGTCAAGCCGCATATGCTGCTGCCAACACATTTCTGGATGGGTTTGCCTCATGCAGGGTAGCACAAGGCCTGCCAGGAGTATCCCTTGACCTTACAGCTGTGACGGGCGCTGGCTACATTTCCCAAAACTCGGCGCGAGAGGAAGAGATTACCAAGAACTTTGGTGGACAGTCCATTTCCGAAGCTGAAGTATTAGGGCTTCTGGCGGTCGCTACATCCAGTAAATGCGGCGCGCAGTGCCTGACGGGCTTGAAGCTTGTTCCAAGTAATACAAATGCTCTACCTTACTATGCAGACGACCCACGATTCGCACACCTTAAAGCGGCAGCAGTAGCGGAGATACGAGCTGCGGGTAGCGATTCTGGACAGGTCATCTCGTACAGGAACGTATTCCGCGCTGCAGCCAACAATGAGGAGGCCCGCCAAATTGCCGTACAGGGGGTGCTGCAGAAACTATCCGAGGTACTGTCCGTGGCACACGACGATGTGGATGCTCTGCGGAGTATGGCATCGTATGGTCTAGATTCTCTGACTGCTATTGAAGTGCGCAATTGGATTACCAGGGAACTTGGCGCAACCCTGGAGATTCTAGAGTTGCTGACGAGTGCAAACGTGACGGAATTGGCGAACCTGATTGTTTCGCGGACTAGAACATAAAGACATGTTTTTGCTGGATACGTGGCATTAGTCTACCATGGTATGGTAGAATAAATCAAGTTTAAGTATAATGAAAGAATCTATTCAAATATAATAGCGAGAGACAAATTTGTGGACTGCGACTAACCGCGACGTAGAGGGTCACTCACTTGTGGCTTACATAATTCTAAGTTACAAATTAACCCCTTTAATGTAAGTACTTAGGTACTTGGCCCCTTGCACATGGGGAGCCCTTTAGAACATGAAGACATGAGACGGGATTGTGAGGATTCTTAGATATGACACTATATTTTAATTTATTGCTCATGTGAAAATAGCAGCGACTTAAATGTTGAGAGCCTAATAATATCTTAAGCTTGTAAACTAATCTACTTTTTACTATGGCCGGCTTCATGGCGTTACCCAAAGCCTACCTACCTAGAGCTATCATCATAGAACTCTGTCTGTGACTCCTGCTAATTCCTCACGGCCATAGAAACAAATTCGATATATGCGAATTATTCAAGTTATATATTTTGAAAAAAACGCCGATGTAGAGAAAACCACATGGCTCATCAATCTCAAGCCAAGCATACTGATAAAGGCGAACGCATCGTATTTCGATAATCGAATATCTCGGTAGTACTCCCCAAACCATAGATTGGAATATCTTCCGAGAGGGTTGATTAGCGATAGGTAATAGCGAAGCTTAGAATTTCCAAGTGGCTCCGTCGTTTGATTAGATGGAATAGAAACGTGTTCATTCATATCGCATCTAGTTATGCCGTTCGACAATTTGGTGGTCAGGAGGGAGGCTCATTTGCCTTTATACTGCCGTTATTATTGGTGCGAGTAGTATCAACACTCAATCGGCTCATTTGGCTGGCCATACTTAAGCCGGTGCCCTTCCTCGTCCTCAAGGCCTTATCCCATCTCTTCTTGTCTTTGATAGGAGCACCGGTGCCATCTAAACCGAGTACCTCCATTAGCTCGGGGATCTCGGCGTGATCTCGGGTCGTCCGCATTCGATGGCACCATGTGACGCGCTTTTCCTCGACCTTGGGGTCTTCATAGTCGTCTGATTTCTCGTTTTCGTCTGAAAGCCTTAGTTGCTTGTCCTCTTCGCTACGCGGCGTCGTGACGGGAGTGTCTAGGGTTAGGGTTGCGGGTTCGAAAAGAAACTCCCCGCCAACTTGTTTCTGGTCACCCATCTTCGTCACTAAGCCTGATTTCACTTGCTTCAACCCCTGGACTACACCAGAAACGACAGTATGTGCCAGCGTTTTCCCTTGCATATAGGCTGGTCGAGAGCCCATTGCTAAGGTGCGCACCATTCCAAGTTCAGTATACAGACGACGGGTTGGATCAGCATAAACCGGGAATGGACAGCCGGTCTCTTGGATGTACGAGTTGATTAGATGTGGGGAGCCGCACCCTATTACGGCGATGAAGGTGCTGACTGGTAACTGCAAAAGGGCCTCGGGAGTAACCGAGGCCGAAAGCGTGCGTAAGTATTCCTGGCAGTTCTGTGACATGTCGGTCAGCATAGAACGTTTTAGCCCATGCCGGTGCAAACGGAACCATTAGCAACATACACCACAGAAGAAATGCCGAATAAATATTATGAGCACTCGGCGGGCAGAATTGCGGCCGGCATAGAGACTCTTGAAACTATGCGACTTCCCATCACTATCGAGAACGTTGTATGCCTCTATTTTGCGCAGCGTCTCAATTGTCGGCAATTCGTTCGTAGTTTGGACTTCACCCTGAAATTCTTCGACGTTCATTGAAACCCTAGGCTGTGCTACCGAGTCGTTATCCTTGGTAGTTGCGATAGATGTATCTGCCATCAAGATAGGCTTGGCGCTCTGGGTTAAGGTTGTCTTGTGTGCCGTATCTGATTTATTCGAAGCGTCCGGGGTAGAAACCACCGTCGCGGTTGGCTCGCCTTTGGCAACGGAGAGTGGCCGTGGCATTTTTTCACTTGTCATAGTAGATAGATTCCAGGGTAGCGGCTCGTACCGAGAAGTTTATTAGATTATGGTTGCTTGTTCTGAGTTTATTATGCTTGAGGGCTTGTATGACCTGAATTACGAGGGTTGGGTCTCGATCAAAATTGGCCTATGCAGGAACTATGCAGGGGTAGTTGATGTGGCTTATTGTTGCGATGATGATAAGTGCTGAATATATTCCCTTTTCGATACGGATTTTTCTGTGCCCAGCCCGAAAAGAATGATAAAGGTAAAAAATGTTGATGATTGTGTTCCGTGAAAGAAGGCGGAGTTGATGCTGAAACTCAAGAAGGCGCAGTTTACGTCGTGGGTCATGAATGGATGTATCAATGACGGGTACCTAGAATGAGCTTGTGTGGTACCTTATGCAGGTAGGTATTTGCTACCTAGCTTTATGTAAGTATATAGGTACACAGGTATATGCCTGAACGCCCAACTCGCAGTAGAATCATGCATCTACGACTGTCTACCTAGGTACCTATAAGAATGTCCATCTTTTATTGGGTTTTACATGCACCTAGGTACATATTGCAGGTTACATACACATCTCTATATGGCTCTCAAATGGATTGGCTCTTAAAGAATATCAATTGTCCCCGGCAAGAAATTAGATACATGCTATTAATTTTAGCTGCTTAATATATTGAAAGGTTAGCATGAGACTTAATATCTAACTTGAATGCTTATCGTAAGTCAACTACTTATAGAGTTTCAGCGAAGGTTACACCCGGTCTTTAGTGGTCTTTGCAACCCAATCGTGTGCCCCCTAAATTAGACATGTACTATAGGTAATCTCTTGGCCAAGGTTAGGGGGTATATTCAGCATCCTATAGGTAGTTGTCTAAGTGCATGTTATTGTGTATTTAATCATGGAATTTACTTAGGTATGCATTATCCGGATAAATACGCACGATATGTGAAAGAAAGGAAGCTTAGATAAACGAATGTGTATTGTATTAACGGGTAGCATTTACTCAATTTATCAATCAAATGCAGCGAGCTTTAAAGACTTATGGAATGCCGAAGCTGACGCAGTCGCAGCAGGGTCCTATTGAACGGAGTAGTTCTCACGCTCGAAGGAACAAACTGAATCTGAGGTGATTCCTAGTTGTAGAGCATTATTAACACCACTTGCTCTCGCTGGGGGTGGCCGTCCTAGTTTTCAGCGTCGAAGCTTGCAGTGGTTGCTGGTGATTGCCATGGCTAATTCGTCGTGCGACTGCTATATCCTCCGCTTTCTCCTCCGCCATCGGACCAAAAACCGTGAGCTCAAAGGCTCATATCGCAGTGTCCATGAATGGACTCCTGATAGGATCGCCCATTGGCGGTAGCTTAAGCTCAATCGCTCCTGTCAGATCAGCTGCGAGTAGCAACTCTAGAAGGGCAGGGGGGCTCTAAGGTTTGCAGATTGTCATGTGCTAGGGCACAAGCTGTCCCGGCGTAGAACTCATGTTGGAATGACTGCTGGTTAAGCGTCTAGAGCTGCACGGCACCAGGACTCTTTGCCTGTTAGGCATACCTGCTCTCGTCTAAACGATGGTATTGTTATCCACTTGTCATAGGCAAATCACTCAAATCCACCGCCAACTTGACTAGCAAAGGCGGTGCTGACTGACTTCTCGTCGTCATCATATCGGCGACGGAAGCCATTTGAATAAGCAGGAAAACCAGAGCCCTCTGTAACATGCTGCTTCAGCCGGTCGCTCTGGGTGTAGGATGTAGGTCGAGAACGAAGTGCATCAGGAAGCCCGGCGCCAAGACTGGCGCCACCCTGTCCTACACCTTTGCTACCAATAACGCTAGCAGTGCCATCAGTGAATTCCGAAGTGGCAACGCTTTCACCAGCAATGCTCTCTGTCCCTCGGCCCCTGCTCTTACTTCCTACACGACCACCTGGTGTCGCATTAAACCCTGGAAGACCAGGCCATTGTTCAGAATTAAAGTTGGAAAACATTGTTGGAAAAGCAGTATTACCAATTCCGGCACCACCGAGGGCCGAACTATGAAGGCTAGAAGTATCATCAGGAATATAAGAAAGCATCGAACTCGACTCAAAATCTTGGTTGGCGTTATGGCCATTGTATCCAGCCGAGCGACCGTTGGAAAATCCGCTAGAAACGTGTGAAACTTGCTGAGGACGGGGGCGATAAGCGTTCTTAGGTCGGCTAAACTGAAGCAAAGACGTCTGCAAGTTAGTTAGAGGACCCTCAACGAGACATTTACGCTCCTTAAAGTGTACTAGAAGGTGGTGCCAAAGTTCGTGTTTGGACAAGACTTTCGGATTGCCGATAATAACGAGCCCATACTTCGCACGGGTCAGGGCGACATTCATTCGGCGGGGATCAGAAAGGAAACCAATGCCTTGGTTGTCATTGGATCGTACACAGGATAGGACGATGAAGTCCTTTTCACGGCCTTGGAAAGCATCGACTGAGGCAACCTCGACCTCCTTGTAGGACTCCTTTTTGAAAGTACCCGTATTCTGCATCGTAGTAACAATATAGCTACGTTGACCTTCGTATGGGGTAATAACACCAATATCAGAAGGTCGTACGCCAGCTTTGAAGAATCGCGTCACGATCTTTTCTACATTGGAAGCTTCGGTTCGGTTGAGGTACGAAGTTCCAGACGCAGAGATCTCTTCATTACCCAGATTAGACCAAAACATCATAGGCATTTCAGCAACCGGCCAAGGAAAGTCGACATCCTTGCGGATCCGGTTGGGAGCAGAAACACCGTTCTGAAGAGAACCCTCATAAAACATGTTCGACGGGAATTCGGAAAGACAAGGATGCATTCGGTACTGAATATTAAGCCGAATGGGTGTGAAACCAAGTCGGACGAGACGTTCAAAGAGCGATTGGTTTAGACCAGCCTTGGCGGCTTTCTTGTTCATGATCACCGGCCCAAGCTGCTTGTGATCACCGACGAGCACGACCTGCTTGCAACCGAGAACAAGAGGAATCATACACTCGGGTTCGGCGGATTGTGTAGATTCGTCAATGAGGACATTGCGAAATTTCATCTTAGCCAAGCGCGGGTCTCCTGCTCCAACACACGTACAACAGACTACGTCCGCGTTGTTAAGAATCTCGCGCTCAGCAGCGCGGGTCAACTGCTTGAATTTCTTCTCATCCTGGCTTGAAAGTTCGCCGAGTTCGTTCTTGAGCTGCGAGAGTTTCATCAGATCAGGATTGGTGTCAAGCATGCGCACTTGTTCGTGCAGCGCAAGAAAGCTAACGGAAGACTCGACGTCTTCGCGAGACTTTGCTGTAAGGCGGACAACCTTCAACCCCGTGAGATTGATTCGTTCACAGAGCTGGTCCACAGCTACGTTAGATGGCGCGCACACGAGGACTTGGCCATTGTTCATCTTCGCTAAGTGATAAATAATGGTTGCCGATGTTACCGTCTTGCCAGTTCCAGGGGGCCCTTGGATGAGGCTGAGGGGGGTAAGCAGGACGTTCTTGATAGCACTAATCTGGCTGCTGTTGAGCTCTGGAAGACCCGGCACGCTGAACTTCTTAGGTAGGTTGGTCTTCATGGGAGCGACAGCAACCTCGTGGCCGAGTAGTTTGTGAAAGATATATCCAGAAACACTCATCTCATCCACAGCAAAGGTCTTCATAGCAGCCTGCATGCGATCATAAGACGTTGCTTTCCAAACATAATCAGCCGAAAAGTTATGAGTGCATTCGGTAGGCACAGACTTCTCATTTCCCGTCTTGCGCAGCTCCAAAGTAACTTCATCAGATTGATTGTTCGGGATCTTAACCACATATCCCACTCCCTCCCAGGGAGGACGAAGCTCGCCCTTGTACTTGAGTCGCATCTCGTCACCTACTGCTAGCTTGACGTCGCCAGATTCCAACTTCGGGAACGTGAAGCTAGCAAGATGCTTGTTGTTAAGTCCCAAGTCCCACCGAACAACCAGGCCATCCTCGGATTGCGCCTCCTTTAACTTCTTGTCGTAGTCGGATTCCATCTTCACGAGGGGACCAAAGATATTTTGATACTGATACGGATCTTCATACTTGAGAAGAACTGGAAGCGGATCGTCATCAATACTGGCGGCCTTTTCCAAGTCAGCTATAGTGGCACTAGCATTTTCTTTCCACATCTCTTCTAGCTTGGCAATCATGGGAGGTGTAAGATGTCGAGCACGGAGTTGTTCATTATCGCTAGGCGGCGACACAAGCCACGGGAGAAAGCTGCGGTCCTCAATCAAAGGCTGCCACCTGGAAGTATCCCAGCTCATGTCCTTCGAAGAGGGCGTGGCGGCACATGGCTGACGGCAAAGCAGGACGACGACAGTGTCGGATTTCGCAGGGATAAATCCAAGGAGGAAAACGTTCTTCGTACCGCAATTATAGCATTCGAGGGTCGTGTCGCCAAGCGTGGACTGGGGATGGAGTTGTACTTCTTTGTGTCGAGCTCGAACCAAGTGATTGACAATATGCGAAGAGCTTGCATTTCCTCGAGCGCTACAAAACCACTTATTGCAAGCAAGACACTTAACTACCGAGCCAGGAGAATGGATACCGCAATACCTGCAACCAACACATTAACAATCCAATGAACTTTTCGCTTAATCGTCTGTGAGAAACCTACGCGCAAGCGTGTGGGGGTAGTTTCTTGTCTTCTTCGGGGACCTTAAGGTTCAGAGCCTTCATAGCCCCAACAGGAACGCTAGCCACGCTCTCGTTATCGTCGTCGTCAAAAACCTCGGTTTCGTTATCGTCATCGTCATTTCTTCGCCTTGCGGTACCTAGTCCGCCACGGCCGCTGTACTTTCCATAGAGAAGGCTCTCATCGGGATCAAGAGTAGAAAGATCATCGTCGCCAGCATTGATAGCGGCAGCAGAGTCGGATACAAGGTGGTTACCCAGGTGGGTAAAAGCGCCTTCCATTGTAGCGCCGTCGGCCGGCTAGGGCAGCCGGGTTTTCGGTACGACTATTTCTTTGTATCTAACGTTTGTCAATACATATAATGTCTCAAGGCAGCCTGATATGATTTCCTAATATATGGTGAATTAAATCACGGCAGAGGGCAGATAAATGAGAACAAAAGGGGAGTGGATAGAAACTCGGCGAACGAGTTTTGTGGAAGGCGGATGGGTAGAAGAGTTGACGAAAAATCAAAGGCTAACTACCAACAATACCTTATAGAGCAAGTATAAAGTGATACGTGGATCACGGATAGGATGTCCCTTTTTCACTGCCCTAGTTGGCGCAGGAGGATAGTCGACACGTTGGATTGTAAGGAGAAAATGAGGAGGAAGTCATCACATTGTGGAATTCTGAGGTTTTGGAATTCTCAGATTGCGATAACTTTCGCGCTTGCATCTTTGACTGTGGCGGGCGGAAATCTATGTACCTTTGGTACCTCTTAGGCGGGATGGTGGGTCTCGAACACCTAGGCCAATGACCAAACTTTCCTAAGCCCCAACATTGAAAGTACCTCCCAAACGTACTTCGTAGGTACCTAAAGTTATCGGACTGGGGGGTCTGATAAGCTCCGATATGAAAAATTCCAATTGATGCACGCCAAAAGTTCAAGACTTTACAGTTGCTTATCCCAATTCTCCCGCCTCGAAGGTTAACATCACATCTTAGAACAATTGCGCATTATTTCTTGCTTTATATTAGTACAGAATCACTGGTGTTAAAATCTGCGCAGCACTGTTCCACGCCACCACTAACAAAAATCATGATTGTATGTTCATATCAACAATGAATACCTATAAAACCTACTAACAGAATCCCAACCTACAGCGCAAACAAGCTCGGCAACGGCGCGATTACCTCTACAGAAGAGCCCTTCTCCTCCGCGATTCTGAGATAAGCGAGAAGAGAGCAAAACTTAGAGCATCCTTAGCGACCGGCAGGCCCCTAGATCCTACCATCGCAAACGACAAGGAGCTGAGAAAAGACTACCAGTTTGACGAATCCAGGCCAGACAGAAGCACGAATGAGGAGTTGGATCTCGATGATGAGTACTCCCAACTTTCTGGGATAGTTGATCCTCGGGTCCTTGTTACTACCTCGAGGGACCCATCTGCACGACTATCAGCATTTGCTAAAGAAATCCGCTTGCTTATCCCGACTGCCATAAGACTGAATCGTGGCAACTTGATCCTACCAGACCTCGTTCGATCGGCGCAGAGCAGTGGTCTCAGCGACTTAATTCTTCTTCATGAGCATCGTGGTGTCCCTACGGCGTTAACGATGTCCCACTTCCCTCATGGGCCGACCATATCATTCTCTTTACATAATGTTGTATTGCGCCATGATATTCCTAATAGTATTCGAGGAACTGTTAGCGAATCGTACCCTCATTTAATATTTGATGGTAAAATTCATGCATGCCCACATTTGCCAACGGTAACTAACCTCAAACTATAGGTTTCACTTCTCGTCTTGGTGCAAGGGTTGTCAAAATCTTAAAGCATATATTTCCCCCGCGTGAGCCTCTAACAAGCAATTCTAAGCTCGGAAGTCGAGTGGTCACATTCAAGAACATTGAAGACGCGATAGAAGTGCGACATCACGTTTTCGTCAGAACTGGATACGATAGTGTGGAATTATCTGAAGTCGGTCCACGAATGACGATGAAGGTATTCGAGATTCGGAGCGGTACTTTGGAGAACAAAGACGGCGATGTCGAGTGGCATTTAAATCAATACACGAGAACCAGCCGCAAGAAAGACTATCTTTGAGGCTGATTTCACCAACTTTAAAATCGCAATGTACGGTGTCATGGCTCCGTAGGTTTCGTACATACCTCAGAGGAATATGTGGCGCCATGAAGAGCCGTGTGTCTCTGCCCGGATCCAAGCAAATCTCCATACGAGTATATAAATGTCATCCAGAGCTTCATTAACAAAACAGCCGCCCAGCAGACATATGTACTCGAAGATGGGCACGAAAAGTTGATGCATCTGGTGGAGGGTTGCAGAGTCTTGATATTGGGTTTTCGGCGGCGTTCTTCCGCTTGTGTTGACCTAAACCCGAGCCAATATGATACCTTTTATAAGGACTATAATGGTCTTCCATGGTACTCCGAAGAAATAATCTTGAAAGGCCACGCTACAGAGTAAAGAAATAATGTCTACGACAACCTCGTATGATCCATACTGTTGGAAGAAATCGGAAGACATGTGACAAATTTGTGCTCGTGGTATATAGCTATGAGCAAGAGAATAAATAGAAAGTCAAGTCTCGGAGGAAGCTATTTCGGCAGCATATAGGTAGACTAAGAGCAAATCCACGTCTACTACAGATACTCTAAACCTATTATATTCGAGTGATCAGTCTTGTATTGGTGAGTATTATAGTAGGAGACATCGTTATAGAGCGTCTGTAACTACTAGTCAGTACCTCTTTTCAAATCTTTTCGTACGACTACAAAGGGTTACTGTCTAACTCCTATTCTAGAAACAGCCGTTAAGAAAGACAAGATGCAAGCCTTATATGAGCAACATTGTAGGATCATCTGGCTGGTAGTTAGACTTGAGCTTAAACTTGTTATTATCTGTTGAAGGAATAGATGCAGAAGATATTCGTACACAACGGATAAGGCTGGGTTGCATGCGTGTTAGGCTACCAATTTAGGGACTTCACAAGCTATGACGAAATGGGAAATTAAGAATTCATAGCCTTGGATGCTGACGTGACCTAGCAGCAGCGCTGTGCTATTTTAGGGTCGTACATGTACATATGTAAGATGCATGGTATAGCCCGCGTTCCGTTCTTGCCACCATTTTCTTATGTACTTTCCTATCGTGTAAGAAGCTTATATGTAATGCCGCGCTGTTTGCCTCACTGCTGCAGTAATGTGTTTGTAAAACTGATTAAAATATAGGTACATTCATGTGAGAAGGGTTCTTCGAATATACTTAAGTACAAGCACTAAGGTTAGCATGTACATACATGTAGGTAGGTACATACAAGAGGTACCTTATCCTCCAGGCTCCCACTAAAAATCCTAGCTTGGCAAACGTCGATTTTCGTTCCAAGCCACCCATGCCATGGACCATCACAATCACAGCTCGACATACTATTCGGGAGTTACTAGACAGCCAGACAGTTATGATTGGCTTGAAAGACCGATTTGCAGATTAGTACTTGAATAGAAAAACAAAAACAGATTCGAGTCAAACTTATTAGCCGTCTTCCCCGTCGATTTCTTTCAGGTTTCGGTCGTGCTTTGTTATTTTTTCCCTCCATCTGAATTACTGTATTATCTATATTCTCTCGTCTCCGCCGATACACTAGGCAAACCAAACAACCCGACTCGGAGACGGTGATTGGAGCGGAAAGACCCTGGGAAAAAATTACCCAGACGTCACGTACGGTCAGCAGGGAACATCCGCCGTCCCCAGCCCCGTCTTCCCGTATGCAGCAGCGGAAGAAGTAGCTGTAAATTGATTCAATCTCAAATCATTCATCAATCAAACTTGACTCTTGTCCTCTCCAACTCCCAATTTCCGCTCCTCATTCCACGGTCGCATCACGTCACACCATATCATCACATCCGACCATTCCACTACTTACCGTCCGTCTACTTGCTCTAAGGTCCTAAAATACCGGGCTTTTTGGATGTCATAAGGGCGACGGCCTAGCAGTCAACATGTCTTACGGTCAATATCAAAACAACTCATACCAGGATGGTTCTCTAGCTGAGCACGGCTACCAGGTAAGGCAGTTTCATAGCCATTAGGGCTGACTCGGCGTATGGCGATAGCTATCTAACAAACATTTAGGAGCACGAGCTACAGAGCTATCCAGAACAGCAACCAATCTCAGACACTCTTTCACAGCAAGATTTCCTCAACCGGATTCAATTCCTCCGCAATGAAATCCGTACCCTTACGAGCAATGTTCAAACAATTGCGTCCCTACACCAGCGCGCGCTGGCTGAAGGCGACGGCGGTGCAGCATCGCAACAACTTGAACGCGCTGTCGCCGACACGCAGACCTTGAACGTCGGTATTCGAGATCAACTAAAATTCTTAGCCAACGATGCAAACAAATCTCCGCCTAACAGCACCACCCGCGATATGAAGGAGCGGCAGGTCGCCACCATCAAAGCCGAGTTTGAGCGCGAATTAAGCAATTACCAGAAAGAAGAGAGCGTTTACAGCCAACGGTACCGCGAACAGATTGCCCGTCAGTACCGTATTGTCAATCCCGATGCTACCGAGGAAGAAGTTCGTAATGCGGCCGATGCCGATTGGGGCAATGAAGGTGTCTTCCAGACCGCGGTATGTTTTTTCTTCTCTTGCGCCTTTTCTCACCAAAAAGAAGAAAAAAAATCCAAGTAATCCTCAAAGATGAATAATGTTGACGCGAGATACAGCTCCGCACCAACCGTGCCGGTCAAGCGTCGTCAGTTCTCGGCGCAGTGCGCGCGCGCCACAATGAGCTCCAGCGCATTGAGCGGACCCTTATCGAACTCGCGAATATGTTCCAAGATCTTGCCATATTAGTGGAGCAGCAGGATAATGCGGTAGTCGAAGCAGTTAACAATGCCGAGAACACGACTAAATACATCGACGAAGGCAATACCCATGTAAAGAAAGGAATCGTCCACGCCCGAAACCGCAGAAAGCTAAAGTGGTGGTGTCTCGTCGTCGTAATCATCATTATTGCTATCGCCCTTGGTGTCGGTCTAGGTGTGGCTGCTAACGCCGGACTACTCGGTGGCAATAAAAACAACAATAATAATAACAGCGGCAACTAAATTGCCATCGGGGGTCACTTCAGAGTAGATGAACGATAACGAAACGACTTTTTTCAAATCTCGGGAGACGAGATGACCGGGGTAAAATTATCAGATCGCACAGAGATGGCAGATCTTGGTACAACTTATATTAATTCCCAACCTTTCCATCCGATATCTAGAACGTCGGCAGACCTTCCGGTCCACGGTTAGTATGGGGAGGGTGGAATCCTTAATGCATTGTTTCTCATGTACGCATGGTTTTATGCGAATTATTCACCGCTCGGGGCGGCTTGTTTTGTCTATTGGATCTTTTCTCGGGGTCAGGGTCCAGGCTGAGACGGGCTGATGGTTGTACATAAGTAGATGTGTAGGCCCGTATGCTTATTATTACCTTTTTTTCATATTCAGACGATTCCAAATCTACCTAGGTACGTATTGAAATTGCTCGTGCTTCCAATTACCTGTTTGAAGCTTTACATATTGTGGAAAATTCACGTCTACAGAGGTTGATCCGGGTTTATGTATCTCCACATGCAAGTATGATCGCTTAAATTCATAATCGTCGTGAAGCCTACGTCTTCAGTGGATTACCCAGATAAAAAAAAGCTACGATTTATTACCGTATAAGAGGAATCTGGTAAGACCGGACTATTCCTGTCATTCGGAACCCTCTCTTTTTGTTTGGAGGAACTAGTAGGCGCGAAGGTTAGGTGCGAACATAAAACCATATGGGGGTCACTATGAGAATCAGACCAAACTTAAAACTTTCAACATCACAATCTCCCAAATAGCACATACTATCCCCAGTCACAACACAACTCTACGCTATCAATAAACGACAAGAGTTACAGGGTAGATATATATATATAAAGATACACTATAGTTCTATCGGATAGCATATTCTTGAACGTCTACGGAATCTAAACAACCAAAATTTATACTAAGAACCCGTTTACGCCCAGAACCAACAACCGCCAAACACCGAATCTCGGCAACTAGATTCAGTATACTATAAGCACTCAGCGATGCATTTTCCTCATCTTTACGAGGTAATCTTTGGCATCTCGACGCCCGGGGCAACCTTTTCAAGCAGCACATCAAACAACGGAGTTCCGAGCCCGGTGACGGGATCCCAGCCTTTCGTCGCGTTCCACCCTGCGCCAGGGACGTAAGGCGCCGGCAGGCCGCTGTAGATGTCTCTTCCGGTGCAGCCCTTGCTTCCACCCAGCACGATATCAGTCAGACCACCGTCAACAGCATCGCTGTAAAGCCACGGGTTCAAGAAACCCAGAGGCTTCTGGCCGCTCTTGATGCGCGCGTTGTTGAGCAAGCTTACGATGGCTGCGAAGGTCGGCGCCGACGCCGATGTTCCGCCAACCTTGATAACCGATCCTTGGGAGATGACGTTGAAGTTGCGCCCCTGAGCCGCGACGTCTGGGAACCCGCGGCCGGACGGGTTGTACAGGCCCTCGAATGTGGCGCCGATGGTGCCGATGTACGCGTCTACGGCGGCTTTTTGGTAATCCGGGCGCGGGAAGATGTCGGAGAAACCGCCGGATGAGAAAGACACGGCCTGCTCGGGCTCGACGCCGACGGTGCCGCCCACGGCTGTGACGTACGGGCAGGCTGCGGGAAAGATGGGGAGAAGGCGGGTGGTATTCTTGCCGTCGTTTGTCTGACAGGCGCTACCTGGGCCGGTGCTAAGGAAAACAGTCAGCTTGCTGCGTATAAGTCGGTATTAAAAACATGATAAGACTTACTCTCCAGAGCTGAAGAGCACGGACACTCCACGAGCTCCTAGCTGGCCGAACATGGTGCAGACCTTCTCGACATATGTCTTAGGTACTGACTGCTCATCTTCACCGTAAGAGGTGGTTAGAGTATGCGGGAGCTCCTCGTCTGGGAGATCCAGGAGGTACGTCAGGTATTCGAGGTACGGCTCATTAGACCCCTGTATAAACGTCAATAATTGAGTCCTTGATAACTGGAACCTAAGATCTACTCACGGTGTTCGGATTCGGTTGGCTAGGCTATATTAGCATATTGTCAACTGATGGGGGCGATACAATTTAGTTACTTACTCAAGATCAGGAACCAAAGGTCCACGGCCTCCATTAGAGTAGTATCGGATATCTGTATTGAAACCCAATGACGCCGCGTACTGCATGTCCAGGTTGGCCTCGACATCATCATCAATAGAGTCAGTCTGGTTGTCCAAACCACCATTAACAGAGAGCGTGGTGAAGTTCTGGGCAAGAGCATAGGGAGCGTATTGCTCGAGGAACTTGTCTAGCGCATCATGCTTCGCATACTCCTCCAAGAAGCCGCTCACACCAAAGATAGTCGCGACGCTAGGATCCGCAGCCGTGTCACCGACGTTGTAAAGCGCCCTTAAGCATTCAGGGGTTATGGTGGTATTGCAGAAAGTCGCATTGAGTTCCTGGGTAGGGATCTCCGCGGCGGCCTTGAAGAAAGCAGCCGCTTCTTTCTGCTCGATGACCTCGTACACCTCTACAGCGTGCGGTTTCATCTGGCCAAATCTGGTCGTCGGCTGAATCATGGTGATATGGGGCCGGACTGCCTCGGGAACGGAATAGCTGTTTTCGGGTTAGCAAATCTCGTATTCATCCGTTGAACAAGGCGGATGCGTACTGCAGAGTTCGGATTCGCTGTGCATCTGTTCCGACATGGTTATACACTTGGAAATCAGTATCCAGCAAGCTCGCCGCCTTTAGCACGGTAGTTTGGAAATTGACCCATTCTCCGTCATTCTTGACATCCGCTGCGGGGATGCCAGAATTTTGTAGCCATTCTAGTACGGCAGCAGTCGACTCCTCTCTTGGCTTCATCATCTCCTTCACTTCATCGCGCGATAGATGTTGCCCGTATAACCGGTGTTGAGGAGTAGATATGTCGTAGAGGGTTTGCTCGAATTGACCCAGGTTGGGCTGTTCAAGAGCAATCCGCAGCTTGACTACTTGATTCGGATCCGCGTTCTTAACCTTCCTCCAGCCCATTGGGACCTTTGGTAGGGACTCGACAACAACATCTTTGCCTTCGACAGTGGCCTGGAGAAGCGCAATGATAGCGCAAACGAGCGAGGAAACCTTCATTGCGATCTGCGTCACAGGTCGAGGGCCTAGAAGATGTAGCAGTGAATGGCGGCAGAATGACCAGCTATCTCCTCACAAATCTCCTCACAAGAAGATCGGGAGTTAAGAAGAAGCGAATGAAACATGCACGCGCCCTCAGGAACCGGCATTCTAATACCTACATAAATATATGTGAGACACCCCTGTATAGATAGTAGTATCGGCGTACGTATGTAGCTCACGTAGCTTATGAGTTGTTGTCTAAGTCAGGGGATATTTTGCCGGTCAAAGCTATTAAGGTTTCAAAGGAAGGACCCTGCGTAATTTGTATCTGACATATCAAATTATGCGTTCCTATCGGTAAGCTATTAAATTAAGAATTATGTTATGTTTTCAACATGAGCTTCCTGATTATTTTTTGACCATCCAAAAACCGCAGCAGCGATGGGCGACCCCTACCCTAGTATTTCTTCCCTGTTCATTATAAATGACTTGCAGCCAATCGGAAAAGGAAGAGCCATTGTCGTTATCTTGCATATAAAACGGTACCTTACATATGTGGCATGTGGAAAACCCAAACAACATTGGGAGATAAGACTAACGGCCGGAGATTAAAGCAAAATATTAATTGGGCGATGATGGCAATGGCAATGATCAGCATTGCTAACGCAACTTGTGTTTGATACGGTACATAGTAAGTATCATGACTTGAGTGCCACAAAGGTAGAACAAGAAAAGGCCAACGATGAAAGAGACGTAAGACAAGTTTGTTGGATCTTCGTGGCCTCCAATGCTTTTATCCTAAAAACCCTTGTTTTACTGCAGGATTGCGGGTTCTGTTCCCGAAGCGCCAATTGGCTGAGACGTTACGTCATTTCTAAAAGAGCATGTCTTAAGTCTTACTAGTTACGTCTCCGGTTAACTACCTATCTATTTTATCAAAGTGTAAGGTAGTCAATTTCAAGTCTAATAGCTACATGTATGTCCTCAAGTGCGAGGGAGACACGGTACATTATTCATTTACATCTGATTTGTTGAGACTTTTGCACCATTCCTAAAGTGGCAAGTTTTGAGTCTTTTCAAAGTCTTAATTTGTCAATATAAGTGGAATATGTACCTGTGTCTCCCTCGCACTTGAGGACATAGTACTTTCTATAAGTTATCAAGGTTCCCTCTGGCTATAAAGCTTTATAGTCTTAAACACCTAACCTTTCAGCTACTTTTAAACAGATGGCTGTTTGGGTTTAGTTAGAAAAGACTGCGAGGTAAGTATCACTTCTTCGAAACAAACGTCTTTGTCAAAATCATTCGCACGCTTTCCATATTAAATATAAGAATATTTAATAAATTACATAAATAAATACGAGTAACGCTAGACCCCTATACCAGAATTAATAAAACACATACTTAACCTAAGCTACCTATATACCAGGCCGCTCATCTAATTAACTGTCAACTATACATACACCCAACAGATATTCAACCTTGTTATTTCGGCCAAGAATCATATCGGGCTTTCGTTCCCGTCACCCTGCACGTCGTCAGCTATGGCAAGACTTTGCAAGGCTGATGCTAAACCGCAACTCATACGTATGTCGCAATCAGGCAACTCAATAGCCGCTGTTGCTTGCCATTGGTTCGTAACACTCATGCCAGTCATGATATTCCCAACCATTCGACCTCGAGCCCTGTATAATGCGCCTGGGTTCGCGGGCAGACGGATGGGCGCCCAGAAGTGCTTCTCATAACGGTTATGGAGCCTTTGCCTGATCGTTCCAAGATAAGGGTTCTTCACCCTTTGGACAACCATTTCAAGCCTTTCAAACAAATGCTCGGCGAGCATGTGAATGAGAAGACCTGATTCATGGCTGCGGTCATGCAAGGTGGGAAGCCCTTCCACCGACGCAAATGACGGGTATTTTCCGTGGATTTCTAGGATGTCAATGTCTCCTTCTTTGAGTACGATCGGGAGTCTTTCTTCTATTCTCTGACGCCTCTCGAGTCTGCCTTCGTCGACGACATCATAAATCCTTATAAATCTAGCAGTGATTGACTGCCCGTCGACCCTGGATACGCTCATTTTGCGGCTCGTATCGTTTCGTTCATCGTAGTTCGTGAGGTGCATAACGATCAGAACCCAAATGCCATCTACCGGCACAACCCAAAAAGAGTACATCGATTTCCTTATCCTGTTAAAAATGGGTTTGTAGCTGCGGAGGCTACCGTCCAGGTTGATATTCTTGGCGACTACTCGACGAACGGCATCGACATTATCGGGTAGTTTAAACTGACGGTCATAAGAAAACACACCATCTGGTTTGCCAACACAAAGTGAAACAACCTCTTTAAATTCTTCACTGAATGTCAGAACACAATCAGACAACGACCTATATATAGCCTCCCGTTCTACGATACCCGAGCGGTAATACTGGAGGCTTTCGATGGCGAAAGCTCGACTCAAATTATCGGGCCTGGAAAAGTCAAAAATTTGGCCCACATGGTGTTCTCTAGGACTCGATACTGAAAAGACCCTACGGCCGGTGATCTGGCCAGCAGCACTTGCTGCAGCGAAGCTGTATGTGTTAGACATTGTTTCGGACTAACTCGTGTTATGAAACGTGAATGCAAAGCAGAGAGTATGAATATTAGTAACAGGTACCTTGAAATGATTTGATGAAATATGAGTATGTGTGATTGAGAGAACGTCAGCCAACACTACTCTATATCTATGTACGGAGAGGGCGTACAATTTCATTGATTTTAGAATATATTTTATAAACAATAACTTTGTCTGCGTGTTTCCCTAGTAAATAGTGAGCCAGGAACATAATCATCGTACTAATAGCATCACAATACATTTGTCATTTTACTAAGAACCACATATGATAAGCCGTAAAACAATGTTAAAGAAATCAGCAATTATTTAGTACATGTTAAATTGTTTCAATATAGTGTAGTTAATGAGTATCTGATGTATAATCTTGTGTCGTATTCTCTAACAGACAATATCTTACATAGTTCCATGCATTGATGAAAGCAACTGTCCGTTATCAACACTATAACAAAAGCAATATACAACAATCCCGGATCTTCCGGAGGTCCAAGGCATCGAAATATGCAAGAAATAATAGAAGCTTCTTCGGGTATCACTAGGATCCCATTCAAAGCCTTGTTCCATGATGTTCCACCGAAACATATCGCCCCTGAAAGCATAACCCGAAGCAAGTTCAAGTTTCCCCGTTCTTCAGCACCTGTGTGTTGAGAATATGACGAATGCTCTCGTATTCATCCACCGACATTCCTGTGTATTCAATACAAGCATTGCCGCAGGGGATAGGTTGAGGGCCATCGACCTTGCCACTAAGAATAGTGCTCAGGACCATGCAGGTCTGAGGAAGGCCTTCAACCCTAATATGATTATCTCCTATGGGGCCGTTCATCGTGACATTTGCGCTCAAGGCGTCATAGTAGCAAGCGTCGATGTTGAACTGCGGTACTCCCTCGGGAGCTGTAGGCGGTGGCGGGATTCCTTGTGCGTCTCCATCGGGGATGTTTAGTTGCTCGGCGATCTCTTGTGCTATCTTTGAAGCATAAATAAACGCGGCACGGCTACGTCTGTTGCACTTGCCGGTGCCGCAGGTGAGGCCGACGGTGGTAGCGGCACCGATTGTGCCCGCGGTAAGTCCGGAGGTTATAGCTTCTGCCGTCGCGGCTGAAATGCCGATTGCCATCAAGGGAACTGGTGCTACGATACATTGCAGGAATGCAAAGGAAGCAATGGCAGAAGCGGCGAAAGTTGAGCAACGCATTTTGTTTGATGTTGCTTTTAGAAGTCTTGAGAGGTACTAAGGAATGACGTTTAAAAAGAATTCTCGTTCCTGCGAGTTTCTGATGGTGATTCTTGTTGATACAGAAGCCCTTGATAAATGTGGCGATGACAGCCTTAATATATATACATTTTTAAACCGGTGTACTTCTTAGGTCGACGATACTATTGGCATTGCTGTCCAACATGATGGTTTCTACCATCAGAGCCATCTTCTTCAGACTTCTATTCCTAACCGCACACCCTTTCATGTCCAGGGCGACGAGCAAACCCCACAACATAGGTACCTTTCCCATGAACTGCTCCAATCATTAGTTTCTCTTACCCTCTAGATCCTTGCAATTGGTTGATGTTGGATATGAGGATATTCTGCGCATCAATGTCGCATGGTCAGTTGCTTTGTGAATTTTGCGTCGGGTGGGCAACTATTCCCCATGAACCCCTGTCTAGGTAATAATCGTCGCGGATACGCTCGGGGGTATCTATATCTCGGAGATATGTTAGATTCTTCAAGAAAGGAAGTTGATCAATGTCTTTTGCAATAGGACTATTATTCAGCTAGGAATTAAACCCCTAAAGACATACGTAGGTAGTTCTACCCCGGATCGACAACTGCACATGAACACCAGTTAAGCTTAAGCCAATTGTATTTCAAGATAGCCACGACGTTTCGACTCCAGTCGGTAAGCCTATTTCGTTAGCATCTTGAGATTTTTAGGTGGAGCTTTATTAGTTCTTCGGTAGGTATCGCCGTGAATTACCTCTACTTTAGTCACAGGATGCTTGGCTCATAAGATGTTTGTAAATTGGGATGGCACGGGATCACATCAATGTTGCACATAACTAGAGGCATACTAATGGTTAGTTTCTATCGTATAGTTAGAAGCCCTTTTTTCCACCGTCGAGCCCCCGTCGAGCCCATAGGCGGAGATAACGTAACATACTACTACCAACTCACCAAAGTTGAGCGGATCCCAAGTCCAACAACCCACCTGTGAACTCTTCTGGTGTCTCTTATACTGCAAGATTATGCCTCATTTTTACGTATGAAGAACCGCATTATATGGGTAATATGGGGTAAGTAGCACACCGAGGTAAATCGTTGGTATAAAGTACAAACGTTGTTTACGTACAAGACCAATTAAACCTACCTTGAAAGAGGTACGTATGAAATAATATTTAGGTAACTACTAATTATCCCCATTGCTATGACTTCTTCATGGAATCTTCTAGCAAGCTATTCTATCTAGCCAAAGGGAACGTATCGCGTGAGTGATACGTGGCCAAGGATTTCAAAGGGATTCATTACGTTAGATGCGGCAGGATGAGCAACATTTTAGAACATTATGTAGAGGGTTCTGTTCTTACCCCAGCTACCCAGTTAAGGGTATTTTTTCTACCCCTGGTCCGAGATCCGGGGATCTCTGCCAAGATCACTTGGTAGGTCGAGACCTGGGGGATCTACGTCCAGGATCTTGAGTCCATCTTACAAATTGCGGGGAGATTTGACCCTGACAAAGTATCTAGTTTTCACATCAATCTTAATTGTACATGAATACTCCTATAACGTGATGTATTGATTTATTTAAGTAGTCTTATTGTTCCCTTCATATGACGCCAAACTCTGTTACTTAAATACTACCTAGATACCTATAAAATCGTTTCAGTACTACTCCTATAATAAGCTTCCGTTCCCTTTACTACATGTATTTCTACTCCTTGTAGCAAACATTTCCAACACAGCCTCCCCTGCCCTAGTAGTTTTCTGTTGACGGCGCTAACATTGCAACGTGGCGAGGCTATATTTCTACCTTATTTAGGTCACCGAATCGAAGTCGGCCATATGCCGGCCCTTTGGGCTGAGGGGGTATCACCTCTAATACTTGATGAAGGATTACTACCCTCACCCTCTCTCTAATAAAGGGAAGGCGACGGGAAGCTAGATAGATGTCTTTCACTAATCATCTCGTAGTTACGAACGGGGGTAATTTCAATCATAGGAATGTAACGTTGTGTTCTTTTGGGTAGAGATACATCCACTGGGATAAGAGTATGAAGGATTTATATGTATTATAGCCTATTTATGTTCGTGAGCGTAGAATTGCCTGCTTCAAAGACCAACGAAGAGTCTTAGGATAGAGCCACTTAGGCGCTGACCAAAAGAACCAGGCGAAAACCCATATGAATCCTAAAGCTTTCCCGGCGACTCGCATTCTCAGGTCCCTTAGTAGTTCTTCAAATTTTGTTTTGCGCACTAAGTTCCTAAGAAGGGTCGAGAGGAATATCTCGCCCCCTACAGCAAGATAATTGGAGCAGAAAAAGAGCAAATCGCGACGAGCTTCGCCCTGGCCAACTTTCCAAGCCGTTATAGCATGTATAAGCCCGGATAGGAAGAATATTCCAAACGAAACTATTGCCTTATCAACAGCCGAACTTGGTTTCAGCTTCAAGATACGTTGCGAGAAGATTTTAGCGTATATATAGAAGGTCGGCGACGCGATGCGATGCCAGAATCTGCCCCAGAACTGCCTTACTGTCCATGCCTCTGTCGGATTACCAAAGAGTGGCGGCCAATCCTCAGGGTCGTCAAATCGTAATGTCACAACGAACAGCAAGGACAGTATAGCGTGGCACGACTCGAGTATTAGTATGTTCGTCCATATCCAAGAGACGCACACAAATGCTCTTAGAAGCAGTTGGTGCCCCGAGACTGGGTCATCTTCATCCCCCACAAAGAGGCGCCGTAGAATCGGCTCTTGATCCGGGGTAAAATCGAGTATAGTACTAGTAGCGTTGATATATTCACTAGCTTTTTGAACGAAGGCTCTGTCAATAAGGACGATGATTCCGATCTTGCAAATGCGGAAGAGTGCGAATTTAAGCAGTTTCGGCCAGGGTGCTGTACCAGGTCCTAGTCGTTGGCGAGACAAGTGCCGAGGATTATTCCATATCCAGCACGCAGCCGATAGGCTAGGCCTACTGGGTGGCAGAGCAAAGTTATTTGAATATGTGGGATTGCCGGTCTCCGTGGTCTTAGATAACAATGAATGACTTTCGAAGTATAAGATCCGAGGAAGAATTAGCATATGGATGATGCATGTTATTGCAGTGTAGGATTCGAGTCCGATTAACCCTCCAGAGGTTGTGCTGCCTTGAACAGAGGTAAATGACCAAGCTGCGAGAAGCCATGCTGGAGGAAGAAAAAAGGGGCGAAGCTTAGGGGGGAAATGCAAAGCTAGAATAGTGAGGAGAATGGCTGCCACAAGAATAATGTTAGGCTTGAAGAGCTCGTAAGATAATGGCATTGGTGAGGCTATGTTCATGTTGAGAGATCACTTCTGGTTTGAAGCATTGGCAACTTAACATGACATGGGCGTTGCGTGCTGATATCTGATCTCTAATCATATATATCCTCCTTATAATAGGAATTTTCATATTTTCGTGTGCCTTGAGATATCGTAGAGTATCAAGCAATCAATGTTATAAATAGGGTATCCACGTGGAAGAAGAATTCGTCATAGCAGACCACAAGTCTTGGTATATCCTTGTTTGGGTACTGTTCCTCCCTAATTGAGTACACCGAATCTATCATAGCGTTACACAGTATTGGCGTTTCACCTGAATACACTCTACGAAACTTGAGACTATCCGTAACTTAGTGTAGAATGGGATTTCCACGTACGAAGTGCTGAAGAACCCGTCAAATAGCAATAGCAGATATAGTATCAGTCTAAAGGGGATACTAGAGTATTCGTACTCTTGTTAGCGTACGATTTGACTACAGAATCGTACATGGTGAAGCAACTTCTATCTAAATAAACCTCACTAATCACGCCCCCTATGCTTTTTGCATCTACCCAGTAGCACCAGGCACATATCTAGCTTCCCCGGATGCGATTTTGCTCTCGGAGGTCCTTCCCTGCTGCTTAAGACCCCATAATCTCAAGCCCGTGATCACAGTCATAAGTGCAAATCTCTCTCCCAGCACACCTGTCCGGCCATTCCCCCTGAATACGATCTTGAAAGGATCCATCAGATGCAAGTTGCTATTCCAGGCGAACACAGCAACTAATTCTTGATCTTGGGTTGAAATCTTCTGGAGTATCTCATCATCCTTTCCGGTCCGAGGGGAAAGTCTGACGAGTTTGAATCCACACTTCCACGGCGCGTCGACCAGGATCTTATCCTCGCTGCCTTTGCTCTTCCGCCACTCGAAGTCTTCGCGCCATAACTCCTTATCTTGCCCGACCTCAATCGAGAATCGAAATACTGCTGTGCCCAAACTTATCGCGGCACGCAATATTTCCGTACGGTTCCCGTCAGAAATGTTTCCTGACAATGGGGGCAGCGTAATAATCCCGCTGAGTGAGTAGACGTTGGCACGGAGTTCGTCGCCGGCAGCGGCAAGCATTGGGTACTTATCGGTAGGCCCATTATGCAGAACCACGCCTGGTCTTCCAGGTCCATGCCCACCAAAGCCCGTGTGGACCTTAACCGCGAACAGTCGTTTGTCTATAGTATCTCCAAGGTGAAATGTTGGGGTGATTATCTTCCACTGATAGTGTGCGCTCAGAACAGGCGGGAAGGGCCTGTATGGGGAGATTTTGGGATCTGTCGATATGTGAAGATCGCCATCCAGTGATTCCGGGGTTTCGCGAGGAGGCTCTCGAACTACTTCTGTATATGGCGGTGGAGCCGTATCGCCATACTTCGTAGCTTGGATTGACGATTCCGCTGGTTTTCTCATAGCGACGTATGAATATAATATTTACTACTAGTACTACCAGCAGTAGAACACATGATATTTATCGCTATGAATATTGTAGTGATTTAAAATAATGCTTAGGTGGAAGATACATGACTTAGACGACCTAGGTAACTGAGTGGCCCAGACAGCACCATATGATATATCGGTATAAAGATGTTACCTAAGGTCATATAGTAGCATCTGATCCGTATGGCTACCTTAGGAGGTACTCACCTATGTTAATTGTTGTAGATAGGTTATTGGTTTCTAGTCACAAAGTGTGGCTGACACAATCTAACGCGGGTGACAAACAGATGATCTCCTCCCTTGCATACATTTTACAGCGCACATCCTACCCACCCTAAGGACCAACCGCGGTTTCAGAGCAGGCGCTATTTACATAGTTTTGGTGTTATGACTTTGGAACAGCTGAATTGAATCAAGACCACTTGTTATATAATCTATTTTGCCTCTACACGAAGGAACGAAGCCAATAATTGCTTTACGTTTGTATAGTTCTTCCCCACTGTGAACTTATCCTTAGCTCGTGTAGTCATCACATCATCTAACAATGTACCTAGTAGACACTATAAAAGTATCTCCCCTAGACTACAGCGGCCCGTCAATTTTAGCTTGAATTCTACCGCTATCATAGGTGGTCGAATAGCTCTAGCTAGTTGATTGTTAGAATTGGGCACCTAAAATACGAATGCCACTGAGATAGTCCTTAGGGCTAGGTAGGTATTCATAGATATGCAATCCAATCATACGAGATTAAATTTATACCAGGGAGTTTTAGACTTTGGGGGGCATACAATAAGACGAAACTAAAGTCAATATAGCATTCACTTCAGAGTACTAGGGCACAACTAGAAGTTGCCTGATTTGGCTTCTGATACTATGATTACCATGCTACCGGTCCGGTTTAGGGAAGAGAACATACAAGGACGAGCAATGTTACGGCCCGTTGTCTAATGTTCCTATAAGTTATTTCATCGGGAGTCGTCGATTTGATTGCCGAACTGGTCATTCCAACTACCTGTCTTATCATCCTCCACTTCCAGAAGTCCAGCATAGTTTCCAGCAATAGCCCAATATTTACTGACTAGTGCTATCACAAAGACACCCCCTGAAGTCTTGAGATACTTGCCGTCTGATGGCTATGCGCCATACGGCCGAGCTGTATCATGTCTTACTTCCTATTAACCGCTGGTAGACTTGTTCTATCGATTATATCGTAGATGAAATCACCTATAGCATCTCGATGGTCGAAAGGTAGATCTCTAGCCTAGTCTCACATAGTTTCCTACCACGGAATAGTTAGTTGAATCGTATACAATCTTTAGTGTAATAGATAGGTACGTACCAGGAAACTGGCCCTGTTTACCATGACACTTGCCAATCCACCACTCGTTCTCATTTGGTGTTCTGGTAACGATTTCTATTACATCTCCTGCCCTAAAACTGATATCACCCTCGGCCTGGGCTGAATAATCGTATAAAGCGATAACTGTTTCCACGGCTGGCGCGCCGCTAAGTCGGATGGGCTTAGGTTTCGGCGGAGGGGGTTTTGGCTTCCCTGCTGCAAGCGCTGCTAGCCCAGGAGATTTGGGGCTATTTAGAGGTGGAGATAGTGGCGATTTGAAGGCGGCTCCTGATGCGGAATATGGCGGAGGAGGGTTATCTACAACCTCTGCCTGCGACTCTTGGCCGTATTTAACTGATGTTGGGCTCGGTGCGGATGATGGGCCTGGAGTGAGTAATCCAGCAGGTCGCGGTCCCGCCTCTAATGCTGCTGGCTTGTTCGCGTACTTGGGTGGCGGCTTCTTCTGACCGCTGGTCTTAAATCGAACAATGGTTAACTGTTCAGTCTGCTCCAGGATATCTGCCCGCTTCTTCAAAAATGCCTCTTCTACATCAAGCGTTAAGTCGAAATATCCAATATCGCAATGTTGCATTTTCTCATGGAGCGTATAGAAGATATTCAGTTGCATATAGTAGAATGATTGGAATAGCGGCTTGATGAATTGGCGCTCAAGAGTGAACAGCTTAGGTAGTTCGTCCTTCAAGAGATCATTGAAGTAATTGAATTCCTGCGTGGCTTGCTCGACATCGCTCTCTGCTTTCCACAGGGCCTTCTCGTCCTTGGCACTCTTCTCTTTTTTATCTTGTATTTTCTTGAGTGTCGCATTGTGTCGGTCGTAATCGAGCTTCTTGTGTTCACGTTTTGTTGCTGTTTTCCTAATGACCTTGAGTACGTCAAGTAATTCATTCGCGGGGCGAATAACTCGCGACTCGATCATCTCAAGCTCGGGCTTAAGCGATTCTTGTAGATCTTTGACGACAGCCTCATACTCCTCGCAAGCGCGGATGCCCTCGGGGTTGCCTTGAACCTCTATCGAGTCGGGATCTGACATGCGACCTGATATAGGTTTGTAGATCTCGGTCATCGCTTTGCTGAACTCGATCTGGTGGTTGAGCATGCCGTTGATGGCGTCGGAATACTTCTTACTCTCATCGTGAAGGTGTTTTGTCTCGACTTCAAGCTCTTGGAAACGTCGCTCTGCGTCGATGAATACGGGATCCTTTGAATGTTCGCCAATGTTAAACTTGGCTTTAAATTGTTGTGGCGCCTATGGGTTAGAGAATTAGTTTCAATGTCTTTCTTTTTGGGGTTAGGCGCATTGTTACTTACTCGGATGACGCTTTTCTGGAAGCCTCGGAAGCTCATCGCTCTGCGAAGTTGAAATAATCTGTTTGTAGTGGTTCTGATTGCGATGTATGGGTATTGATTCGGAATGAGGATGTTCCTTTGTAGTCTTTTACTGCGTAGCGCTCAGGGGGGAGCAATGCTGCACTAACAGATTGTGAGGTAATAGTTGAGAAGTTGAGAAGTTGAGAAGCGAAAAGTAGTATCAAGGGCGAAATAGAGGTTGCAGCAGGTGACGGCAGCAAGGCAGAAATTAGTAGTAGTAAAGTAGTAACCTAGCGAAGTAGCAAAGTAAACCTGACTTAGTGACTTAGGTCGTTTTCATCCACTGACGACGTCGTTGTTGTGGCAGTGCTTTAAATCATCAGCTCGGCTTTGCGAAGGATCCGTCAACTTTTGTGGCTTGGACCTAATAAGCCTGCTACGCTACTACCGGAACTTTTTACCTCTAAAAACATGTGGAAGCTTTTGGAAGCATTGTACATAGGTAGGTACTATGTAGCTTAGCGTATTTATTTAGGTACTCAATACAACTGTATCGTGAATTTCCAGTCATCCTAAAGCTTCAAATCTTATTAGTAAACATTATGATACGCGGAACCAGAACTGATACAACCAATCCTGTCTAATGTTACGGACTACATATTGGACCGCTTGCCGGATATCCGAGGATCTCTTAGCGCTGAATCTTTAAACCCGAATCACCGCGTTGACTTTAGCGGGCAGTTTCCTTTTATCATTCCAATGCCAAGAAGAGAAGCAGGAGCTGGCTAAAGGCTAACGTCATCTGAATGATGAGGGGCAGGTGTCACTGTGGGAACTAAGGTTTACGTAACATGCATGATCTGATAAACCGAAGATGGATACAATTGCCGCCCTCACCCAATTAAATGCCAAGATCACTCTAGTTTTTCCGTTTCCGCTATCCCCGAGCTCAAAGGCCTAAATCGCCGTTGACCGAGCTTCGGATCTTTTTTCGTGACTTTTTGATATTTGATTTCAAATTCGCCTTCAAGCTTAGGACAACTCCACCATCTTTCCCCTTCTCATACACACAATTCTTTCTTCATATTCTCTTTAATAACTGAACACATATTTCCGTTTGATGCCATCATGGCGAATGTGGCATCTTCAGCATTGAGACAGGCTTCGCGCCTCGCTCTTAAGCAGTCTATCGCCTCAACTTCTCTACGAGGACTTCCGTCCATATCAAAAGTAGCAGGTGTAACTACCGCGCAGGCTGCTCGAAGAGGCTATGTGTCGGAATCTAAACGCGACAATGCTCAGGTTAATGTTGAGACGGCTATCAGGTTAGATAAGAAGGACTTCATGAATGAGAAGGGAGAGCTTGTCATGCCAGGCTCCGGTAATCCCGCAAACGGTACAGTTAGCCCGATGGCCGAAGTGCTAAAGGAAGCAACTGTTTTAGAGGAGGGTCAACGTCCCATCTATCTAGACATGCAAGCTACGACACCCGTCGATCCTAGAGTTCTAGACGCCATGCTGCCATTCTTCGTTGGCGTCTACGGCAACCCCCACTCTCGAACACACGCATACGGCTGGGAAAGTGAGAAGGCCGTAGAGGAAGCGCGAGAGCACGTTGCTAAGTTGATTGGTGCGGATCCTAAGGAAATCATATTCACTAGTGGTGCGACTGAAAGCAATAACATGAGCATCAAGGGCGTTGCGAGGTTCTTTGGCCGATCTGGCAAGAGGAAGCACATCATCACAAGCCAAACGGAACACAAGTGTGTTCTTGACAGTTGTCGACATCTTCAGGATGACGGCTTTGAAGTCACATACCTACCAGTCCAAAGCAACGGCTTAATCGACCTAAAGGAACTAGAAGCCGCAATTCAACCAACAACGGCACTTGTCAGCATCATGGCTGTGAACAATGAGATTGGTGTCATTCAACCTCTGGAAAAGATTGGCAAGCTATGCCGCGAGAAGAAGGTTTTCTTCCACACTGATGGGGCTCAGGCCGTAGGCAAGATTCCCTTGGATGTCAACGCGATGAATATCGACTTGATGTCAATCTCGTCGCACAAGATCTACGGCCCTAAGGGCATTGGTGCCTGCTATGTCCGAAGACGACCGCGCGTGAGATTAGAGCCTATCATCAGCGGCGGTGGCCAGGAGCGTGGCCTACGCAGTGGAACTCTTGCGCCACCTCTAGTGGTAGGATTTGGTGAAGCCTGCCGCATCGCTCAAGAGGAGTTACAAGTAAGTTTACCATTTATATATTGTTTTCTTATTCCTAAAAGATGAACCGCTTAATACATGCATGGCTTTCTGAGCTCCTTGACCGGAATCGCTATGTTGAGACAAAGCACACGTGTCTGACTTTTCGTATACATATCTACTTGATGATTGATCACTTTGTGAAACCTCACGGCTAACTGATGCATAGTATGACTCGAAACGTATCAAGGCACTGTCCGATCGGCTGCTGAAGGGACTTTTGGCGTTAGAGCATGCGACCCAAAACGGTGCCCCTGAAAGCTTCTATCCTGGATGTGTCAATGTCTCCTTCGCATATGTCGAGGGTGAGTCGCTTCTTATGGCTCTGAAGGATATTGCGCTGTCATCGGGCAGTGCTTGCACATCCGCCTCGCTGGAACCAAGTTATGTCTTAAGGGCACTTGGCAACAGTGACGAGAGCGCACACAGTAGCATCAGATTCGGCATTGGTCGATTCACTACGGAGCAAGAAATCGATTACGTTCTCAAAGCTGTTCAGGAACGAGTCACCTTCCTTCGCGAATTAAGTCCTCTATGGGAACTTGTACAGGAAGGCGTTGACTTGAACACAATCCAATGGAGTCAGCACTGATAATGTCATCGACCTCTTTGAATACTGAACTCTTTAATCCTAGCTGCATTTAAGGAAAAGAAGTCTTATCATTCATGGACCAATATGTCAAATTAGGCTATATGCCTAGTTTCACAATCGCTTTTAGTTGGGCACTGAGGACAATAGCATCCTCTCACTTGTAATTTTAGGCGTTAGGGTGGTTTGTCGTGTACTTCGCCGCTTACTTGCGAGCATGCATGTGGTTTCGGGTCGCATAAGGCATGCGATTATTTTTAGGGAGGGCCACTGGAAAATTCGGCGGACATACTTGTCTCAATGATACCAAATGGAATGGCATGCTGAATATGAGGTCATGAATAAGTTAGTTTCCGGTTGAGATAGTCGTGATACAGGTCTTTCAATACGATGTCATGTTTTTGGTGCATTTGGTTGCTGTCATTGTCACTCTTGTGAGATAAAATAGGGCTGAGTAAATGGATATGTTCACTGTCGCTTCATGTCAAAATTGCCCTGCCAAGCTTTCTCCTGCAGCCTAGAAGGTTGCTTGCATATACTAACATCCTTCCCCTATGTATACCTACCTCCTATATTATGTCCTTCATACTTAGCTGTAGGGTTTGCTCCGGGAAGACGGCATACGACATAGGTACTACGTAGCGACCACTTACCTGATTGGCCTTTCATGATAGCCATATAATGAAGCAATATAATGAACGCCAAGTGCGTCATCGTAAAAGCCGCAAGAAACGTATCCAAAGGAGTAAATGGCTCGTGCTAGATGTATAAGATTACGTATTTAGCGGTAAGCCTGTTTATTCCCCTCCATGTAGACGGAGGCGCAGGCTTGAAAGCAGGCCTTAGCCTAATGCAAACATATGACATCAACGAAAAGGACCCGACGCCACGCTCAATGACGTCTACTTGCCTAAAGGGGCAATCTTCCCTGCACCTTTGTGCCACCAAAGCAAAACGCCATGGTCACTTACATCAAGATTTAGAGATTTCCCTCAAAGATTTGCATTATCGCTGGTGTATTTCGCTTATTTCAAGACTTCTTCCAACTTTGCCATCCAGTAACAATATAACGCAAAGTGCTACTCCCCGAATCTAACTGAGTTATAAAAAGCCCTTCACTCCCTCTTCATTGTCAAAGTTATCTCTTACTTCAACATAATATCAACTCACAATACTCTATCAAATCATCCTACATTATCAAACTTACCAAGATGTCTAACGATAACACTTCCACTCTCAAGTCCGCCGTCGACTCTGTTACTGGTGCCGTCCAGAACGCATTCGGCAGCGTAACTGGAAGCACGGCTGATCAAGTATGTGTTCCCCATACCAGTTTCACTATATGTCGACATATCCAATATCAACTAACATAAAACTTTATCTAGACTCAAGGTCAAGCTAAGCAAAACAAGGCCGATGCCGAGTATGATGCATCGCACGCTACTATTAAAGCTCCAGGCTTCACTGCTTCATCATCGGGCGCTGTCACAAAGGATGACCCCGATAGAACTGCCGGCTCTTACAACCAGACCGTAGGTTCCGCTAAGGAATTCGTCGGCGGACTAACAGGCGTCGAGGTAAGTCGATAATGCTAGACTCCTAAGCTACCCCACGAACGTGAGCAAAAGGCGCTAACATTAGTCGGTAGTCCCTAAAGGCAGCTGGACGTAAACAGAATGAAGAAGGCCGGCAGCAAGAAGCCAAGGGCCAGGTTAACGACTACGTTAGCGGCGTCTCTGATCGTGTCACCGGCACTGTAGGTGGAGCCTTCGCAAGTGTTACCGGCAACAAGGCCGCGAAACAGGAATATGAAAGGCAGCACGACGCTGGAAAGACGACCCAGCGAGGTGCCGAGGAAGATATAGTAAAGCAGGCAGACGCCGACTCTGCAGCCTCACGTAAGGCATAAGTGCTTCAACTGAAACATGTGGAGACGAGAACGAAGTTTTTTGGGATGGTAGCAGATGACATTTATGATACCCAATATGGACTGCTAAAGTGTAAGCTAGAGTCCGGAAGGCTTAGGAAATAGAATTGTATGGTAAGGTACCTATAGAAATACAGTACTTATATCCGAAATGGATCTTATAATCACCTACCATGACGTTAAAAATGATTACGTGACCATTGAGAGAATCCAGACAAGGACTATGAGGAAGAGTAATCAATTGCGATCATTTCCGAGATATTCTGGGTTAGTTATCAATTAGTCCTGCATCTAAGCCGGCGAATAGAAAGCGATACCAGGATTGCCAATTCGTCAACAAAACCCCCTTGTCGAGGCTCTTCGCTCGGGTAGTACTGGAAATTCTAGCGTGGTCTATAGGGCAGAATCGCTTTGACGGTTCGTGAGTGGTCCATCCGAATTATTGGAGTCTTGCCGTACGTAAGATTTCCCTACCTATGTAAGACCCTAACCTAAGCCGCTTCATGCAGAGCTGCAGAGCTGCAGAGGCTTGCAGAAGTATTCTTCGTGCCGAGACTCAATCATAAGTGATCTTTGACCGAATAATTGGGTCGAATCAGATGTCTATGAATATCAGAGATTTCGTTCCCGTTTGTTTTTTTCATATGACATGACTCTTGCCGGCATAGCCGTCTGAGATCAGGCGCACGCAGCAATTGATTCCCATGTGAGGCTACATATAATAGGTACCTACGTACATGACAGGTAGAAAAAGCGCGTGAGATCACCGTTGCTGTAGACGAAGCGTTGTGGATAGATATTAGATATGCCGAATTGAGGTCTTATTGAGATTCCAGGTTAGGCTTTTCGATTTATGACTGAAGAAGATCCAAGATAATTGACGCAAAAAGGCCATGAAAGTCTTCTTAACACTTCTTCTTAAGAAATGGAATATTAGAAGGAGATTACAACATATAGAAGTAACGCAACGCAGTCTTCTGAGTGGTGGTTAAACGATGCAACAATGTTTTCTTTAGTGTTTAAATAGGTGCGTATCAGGTGAAGCCCCCCCAGCGTCGGCCAAGCAAGGTTGTACGCACCTAGGTGTATTAATCCCCCTGGGGAATAAGGAATAACGTTCTCTGCGGTGGAGCGCAGCACCCTAAGCCCGCTATATATGTCCTGTCCCTACCTGCCCTACCAAACAGCTAAAGGGACTGGATATGCCGATAACCCTACTAAAATAGGTACGCTACTGACGCTGTTGTGTGGAGCCGCGCTGCCCTATAAACCTGATCCGTGCGGCGATACTCCTTTTGAGCTCGTCTCGGCCCCCAACTTACCCTGAATCAACCTCAATTCAGGATAGAGCCGCAGAACATACCAGGCTCCAGAGTCTTAAGGGCTTACCACGGCCGAGAAAGCAGCCTATTCTTCATGCACGACAAGCTTGAACATGTGCCAATGGATAGCCCCCAACTTGGTTTTTCTTTTTTCCCTTTCTCTTCTAATATTTTTAGGGCCTTTACTCTATCTGTCAACCCGGCGCGTGGCCCGCGGACTGTCCAAACTCCCTTCACCAACGACGGTCCGCCCCTACTCTTTCTAATATGGGCTGATTGACTCGTGGTGTGCCCATCTTGTCTCCCATTAAATAAGTATCATCATGGCCGTATCCTGTTATATGTCCTGGGATTTCACTGCTTTAGGTCCTTCGGTGAGAGTTCTAGCACCAGGACTTAGACTGTCCTAGGTGATGAATATTGTTGCCTTCTAGTACATGTAATAACTTGGCTTTGCTAAGTCCTGTATTAGTGAGCAAGCTTCTATACGCACGTGTGAAACTAGCTAGATAATGTATTTCTTTTCTATTTGTTTGCCTTACTACGGATTACTGGGGTTGTATATTATAGGAGATCGCCTTACTCCTTAGTATGTCAAGGGTCTACAGCGCTTCCCACCTGATACGGTGATGGATACTTGTACTTTCTATCGGAGATTCAGGCATATCTCCTTATTCGATTCTAATTCGCTTGCCACACCTCCTTAGCCGTTATTACGAACTTCCCAATGCCGTTTAGTTATTGGTGGAACACATCCTAAGGCTCACCGAAGGCGTCTTCTGCTCACACCCTTACACATGGCCGTTCCCGGGACCGTAAACTGCAGCCCAGATAGTGGAGCATTATGCAGCACTTTACTATAGGCCGTAGGCCGTAGGTACTTTGACGTCCTTGGGTCATTACCGAAATGACTCTCGAGTCGAAACTGATACATACCTACTTACTCACCATGCCGGTCGACATCTTCACTCTATCAGGCAGCACTAACCAATACCTCAATCTCGATGAGCTATACAGATTATACAGAACGTCACTGGATATAGATGCGGACGCGGCTTTACCTCTAAAGGGTCTTTGCAGGAGGAGTTTACAAATCCTTGCCGGGGAACACGCTCGCTGCTACTATGAAAACCGACACAACTCTGTTAGTACTACTCAAGAAATCTCTAAGGAGCCGGATTAGATTGCCCATCTCCGCGCGACATCCCCTTAGGATCCAAGTATATTATAAACTTGTATCAAGGCCCACTTGTTCGGAGGTCATCCCGTGGCTCAGTTGTGCTCATTTGGACCATTTGGACTCGTTGAGTCGACCTAGATGCGTATCTCGTGGACATCACCTACCTAAACCTACCTACCTACCTAAAGAACCCCTCTCCGATTTTTTTCGGCGTCCTCCATCTTGGAAAGCCGTAGGCACTTGAGAGTTGGCTCGCCCACTCGGCTTTCTCCTGCTAGTTTCAGAAACTCGAGTGACACCGGGCTGCTCCTTTACGCTGTCCACCACTTAGAACGCGAGTCCCAGGGGTTGACTCATCAAAGCAGGTTCGCTACTAATACATCAAAGTATATCCCTTGTAGCAATTTGCCAGTGCGAGATTTTCTACACCCATACTGGCAGAAAAGTGGTAAAAACCGACCTCCAAGTAGACGAACGTGACCATAGACGTCCATTATACTCTCAGTCAGACATTTTATTTATCTATCGACTTGCGAACCGTCTCGACAATGGGTAGAAAGACATCAACGGCTATGATGCGAATTGCGATCGCAGGTGCTGGGGGCTTTGCAGCCCTTCTAATCCGGGAGTTGTCTCGGACTGCCTATGCTATACTCGTGCTCTCAACGAAGGTGACCGAACCAGAATAACTATAACATCATCAAGGCTAGCTAATTCATCAATAGGAACACCCGGAATTAGAATCTAATTTCGACTGCCAGGTAACCGTAGTCGACTATTCAAACCTTGACAATCTCCAGTTCGCCCTTCAGGGCGTTGACCTTGTGATATCTACCATCTCCGGTGCAGAGCAACTAAACCTTATCGATGCGGCTCGACGAGCCCGCGTACGCTGCTTCGTGCCTTCGGAGTTCGAAGGCTCCGTAAGCCATAGACCAGCCGTAGGAACTGACCCTTTTGACAACGGCTCTTCGACGGCCTTGGAACAACTTCGACACTGGTCCCAGTCGAGACACTATTCGATGAAATACACCGTTTTCTCATGCGGCGTTTTCTACGAACGCTTTGCCCCTGGCGGCCTCCAAGCATACAACATGGGCGTCAGCTGTCGGATCCGAAACCAGGGAGACTACATGATCGATGTAGGCCTTGGAACTGCCGAAATCCCGGAAACGGACTCCCGGGGCCGCCCGGTATACGTTGTAATGACATCGGTAGTTGATGTAGCACGATTCGTTGCCGCTGCTGTTGAGCTGGGAATCGACAACTGGCCGCGAGAGTTCAGAATGCGTGGTTCTCGTTTGACAACTCAAAGACTTCAAGAGATTTGCAGCGAAGTCCGAGGAGGTAAGTGACAAAGCGGCCTATCCTCTCGCGCTGAGTTCCCTAACACATTACAGTCGCTTTCAACGTTATCAGGAGGCCATACGAAGAAATCGTGCAATGGCTTCGCTACTACGAGCAGAACCGGGACGAGGTCAAATGGTGCACGATGCAGCATCTTCTACAGACTGCGGATGGTCGATACACATTTGGAGAAACGAACTTAAACGACGCGGTGGACATACAGCCAACAAGCTTTCGACAGTGGCTATACGACACCTGGGGTCCGGCATAGTAATATCATTGTCGACAACAATAATCTAACTAGGCTAGCTACCCTCACCGCCGTTTTCTTCTGCGCCTCGACTATTCTGCCCCTTTAAGATCTGTTGGTCGCGTTCGTACTTAGGGCGGCCCGTTTCGAGCACCATATGTGGCCCGTCTGTTATAATAGACCCAATCTTGTATGCATCACGGCTGAGTTGAGAAGCAAACAGCACGTCTATTTTTGGTTCTTGATACCTTTGTAACTTCAATTTCTTTCTATTAGCATTTAAATTGTATGCACATCAGCATTTAGCGCTCTACCTGTCTATCTACCTAGGTATCTACCTATCTATATTGACTGCTTACCCGCGGGTCGAGTATAGCCATTTCAATAATATAGATATTCCTCTATTCTTCTTCTTCTTCTTCTTTTCATTCTTCTCCCTTAGAAAACAACAACAGCAGCAACTTCGCGAGGACTCCCGCCGTCTCAATCCCGCGGTCGTATTCCCCTACGTTCAGGAGATCGTTGTGAGACAACGTACGGCAAGTCGCGCTAGCGCTACGCCTTGCTGGTGTTCCGTAGGCGTAAGTGGTTGCATACATGTGCTTATATGTGCGTATTACGCCCCATTCATATACATTGCCGCCCCTCCCTCCTATATGGGCCGTAGAACGAGCGTCGAATCGTTACCAGACAATCGGGTCCGTTGCCATTCCCCCCCACGCCCGCCTGTTCTTATCGGGCTTTGACCTTTGAGCTTCTTCATTTCGCTGTGCGACGAATGGCCCGCCGTGCCGCTTGCACGGATTCCGAGTGGCGAGAGAAGTTAAGATTGCTTGTTTCTTTTTTCTTCATTTCACAACGTCTGCTTAAGCTTCCTCGGACGCCCACGAATGGGGACGAACGAGCAAGTGTTGCCTACGAGAAACGTCATACGACTCTAGCGTATATGTAATCTCACATACATACATTAGGTTAGGTACACATCTACATGACTACTATTATCTTGTGAGAGGGCATGGAAGGCAAGTCGTGTTGAACTCGGCCATGATCTTCGTCCCTGCGGCCTTA